TTTAGGTAAACTCTCCGCATCTCTTTTGTCACCCGTTGTAGGATAGGAGTCAAGGTAAAGGTTCATGCAAGGTCAATAACATCGAACATCAACCCAGCAAACAAATGTCCAAAGAAAAAATGCAGGGTGCGTAGACCAGTACAGCTTCAGCTGCTCTACTTCCTGCACACAGTGACTGTAGACTGAGCTGCATACTATTAATTTTACCAGTCACCATGTGTATGCAGTGTAGTGTAGTGTAGTGTAGTGCAGTGCAGTGCAGTGCAGTGCAGTGTAGTGTAGTGTAGTGTAGTGTAGTGTAGTGTAGTGTAGTGTAGTGATGTGAACGGGGTTGGTGTAGTGTTCATGGTAACACCTTTCTATGGTGCACTGCACTGCCTATTCACCAATTCAATTTTTGATTCCCTTGCCTGGACCTCTGCTGGTGTGTTGTTGTATGGACATCAAGCTTTTGCCGAGCTGTCGGTCTGTCTGTCTATTTGTGTATGTGTGTGTATGTGTGTGTGTGTGTGTGTGTGTGTGTGTTTCTGTATGTCTGTGTCTGTGTGTCCGTGTGGTTTTGTACTAATCCTGTGCTTAGATTGCTTGTAGCTGTGTGTGCCGAGCGGGTCTGACCAGGAATGCTCAAGGTGCGTGCGTGGACTGCAGTGGCATAGTGTGTCATCCCCAGGCTACGTGCGTCATTGCACAACGCGAAAGAGACTGCACTACGTCCAGCGTTGTGACGTATTGTACGGTATGTAATTCTTATCCACCAGTTGTCTTTGTCTTGTTCATATTCATGACATAATTATGCTCTACTGTGACCTGTGCCATTGGACTATGCCATGTTGCACGTTTGACCAGATGCTCAGTTCTACAGTGGACAGTATGCCAAGGCTATGAAGTGCAGTATGCTGTAGACTGTAGAGCAATGCAATGTTAGTGTGAAAGGTCAGACTTGGCGTGTACCGAACTGTGCGCAGTTGTGATCACCATCCCGGCATGCATTGCCTGCAACAGTGTATTGAATGGATCACCACTGTATGCCTCACTGTAGTGATTTGGTCACCTCTGTATACAACGCTATATTGATCGGGTCACCACTGTATGTAACAGTGCATTGATCAGGGCACCACTGTATGTAACAGTGTACAGTGTATTGATTGGGTCACCACCGTGTCTTCACAAATAGGACAAATTTGCTTCACAGGTGCATACATCGACATTGGGTGTACTAACGATACAGAAATGAACGCTGTTCGTGTTAGCCCTATCTACGGACAGCTAGCTGCCTTTCATGTTTTTCACACAATTCCACTTCACTGCTGGTACAGTGAAACCTGTCAGTAAGACGACCACTCAAGGGACCTTCAAAACATGGTCTCTGTTACCGGGTGGTCTCCTTATCCAGGGTCATTTGACTGGAAATTGCATCCTTTGATCCGAGTTTCAGTGGTCCTCAAGGACAGGTGATCACCTTTTACAAGTGGTCGCTTTGACAGGTTTTGCTGTACAAGTATTGGTCATGCTTGGCACGATTCAGTTTTGACTACCGTGTCAGGAGATTCTTGGAGAAAGAACTTGTAGAGACTGCTGAATAGTGATCGGCATGGCGATATTGTATACATGTACACAGTTTGGTGTGATGATCGGCACTGCTGCCGAGCTGCATAGTGTACAGCACTAGACCATACGGCTGTGCAACAGATATCCATACTGTGTGCAGCACTAGACCATGCAGCTGTGCAACAGATATCCATACTGTGTGCAGCACTAGACCATGCAGCTGTGCACCGTATCCACATTGTGTGCAGCACTGTGCCCACCAGTGCTGGTGGAGGCAGGAAGGAGGTGTTGATGTGGATGTATGTGTGCGCGGGTGTGTGCATGTGTGTGCACGCTACGCATGTGTATGTGCATGTGTGAATGTATGTATGTGTGTTGTTTGTATGTTCCCAGTGCAATGTAGGATATGCAGGTAACGGTATCGTCTGTGGACTAGATGGAGATCTTGATGGTATACCCAATGAGAACATTTCCTGTTCTGGACCAGAGTGTATGGCCGTAAGTATGACACAGTTTTCTTATCTGGATCCTTCAAAACTAGTCTCTTCCTGTGTACGCATCCATCAAATCTAGCTCTCTCTCTCTCTCATTCTCTCTCTCCTCTCTCTCTTTCTCTCTCTCTCATTCTCTCTCTCTCTCTCTCTCTCTCTCTCTCTCTCTCTCTCTCTCTCTCTCTCTCTCCAACGACGCTTGGGTCCATGGCGGGGCCGCGTGTTGGTGCCCTCCGCAAACAGGATCTGCTTTGGCAACCTGGTTTTGTCCATCCTTGCGAGGTGACCAAGCCATCGCAGGCGATTTGCACGAACACACACACACACACACACACACACACACACACACACACACACACACACACACACACACTCTCTCTCTCTCTCTCTCTCTCTCTCCCTCGTCACTGAGTAACTATCCCTAGTTTGAACTTCTTTGCTTTCACCGCATGGTATAGGTGCATGATTGTTACTGATACATGACGTACATGTATATAAATGTGTTGCTACAGGACAACTGCCCAGAGTTCCCAAACAGTGCTCAAGAGGATATTGATGGTGATGGCATGGGAAATGTCTGTGATGATGATATTGATGGTGATGAGTTGACCAACAATCCACTACGGGTAAGTAGGTGAAAGGCTGTATGCAGCTCCATCAGGTACTTTGAACTGGGGATATTTGGGTTAAGGCAGCTCCATCTACTTTAAACTTGGGATATTTGGGTTAAGGTAGGCCAAATATATGGCTTAAAAGTATTACGTAAAATCTACATCTTGACTCTGGCCAAGCTAGTTTCACTCTTCTGCTGTATTTGCATGGCGGAATTATGGGTAATTGGCACACAACGCTGCCACCTGCATAATTATAGCAGGCAGGTGCTTGTGACCTGCAGTGCCTTCATAAAAAGATAATCATCATGCTTTTGGCCATAAATGGGTCAACCCTTCAGTTTTTTTAAAGATATTGTGCAGTCCCTTATGCAATGCACTTCCAATTATGTTTTGAAAGGCTGTTTCTCCATGAAGCAAATCGTAACAAGAATAGGATTTTGGCCCGGTTTTGCCCCCAAGAGCACTGAATTGGGAAACAACATGTCATAAACCAAATACGGGAGCTCACCAGAGCTAGAGATCATCTTTGTATGAATGGAGAGAATCGCAGAAATGATAAAGGCACAACGTTCCAGTAGGGCAAGGAAATCAGGTGTCAAAAGATCAGCTCCATTCGGGGCTATTGGGGAATTATTGGTGAGCGCAAAGTACTGCGAGTGTGCAAGTTCAGCCCTCACCAAAGCTGCACAAAACGTCACTGACCTGTTTGTCAACGGTCGCGCTCATTGACCAATCAGCGTACACCGAATGTACCAAAATTCTCGAACTTACCGTAATTCCTTGGTTCATACGGTATAGTTTCCGAAGATTATTTATCGACCTACGCCTTCATTCAATAGATACCGACAGATTGTCCGCTTCAAAATTTTCGATTTGATGACTGTTTGGCCGAAAATTACCTCCGAAACCGGCCTCCACTTTTGTCACTTTTGTCACTTCTGGTGGACAGCATCGCAATTCGGAAGCGGAGAAGGGATAGCCAGTGAAAAAAGAAAAACAACGCGGTATTGGTTGTCAAGATCGACTAAGAAATGAATTCAATAGACCAGTTTCCATGCTGCGCCCTCGTTGCGTGAGTGCGAAAGGGATCAAAAGGATTCTTTCACGACAAAACGAAATTAACAACAACTACGCGCTGTGCTTTTTGCAGTGCGGTAGACCTGCACGTGTGTCTACGGGTAGCGCGGCCAGCCGCCATGTTCTCAAAATGGAGGTCAACACTTTTGAAATCTGCGTAGACAATGGCGAGGGCTGAAGTATTAGCCCTACATCATGTGGAAAACATTACATCATCCTATAACATGATTGTATCTATGAAACATTCCATCGTTCTACGACATGTATGTATGTAAGTGCATGTGACCATAATGACTGGTTGTTTGTTTGTGTTGATCTCTGCAGGATGCTTGTATATTCACCCCCTTACCTCCCGGTGTTACCCAGCGCTTGTCAGACACAGACACGTTTGGTGACAGTTGTGACAATTGCCCCACTATCTCCAATGAAGACCAGAGTGATATAGATGGTGATACAGTAGGAGATGTTTGTGACGATGATATTGATGGTGATGGTACGTGCTGAGCTTATATTAAGTAGTAGTAGCAGTAGTAGATATTGTGTCAAGTAGCGCTATATGTGTAGAGTAGGTTTTAGACATACCATGCGGCTCCGGTATGGCTTGCCCCTGGATGGCGTTCCCCTTTCTTGTGTCTGTGGGAAAGACATAATGAGTCAGCATGCATTGACTTGCCCCAGTGGAGGATACCGCAAAGCAACAGTATAATGAACTGTGAGACCTGCTTGCTGATGCCCTCACGGTGTTGCTTGCGAAGTGGAGGTGTAACCTCCCCCGAGATGTGGACAGGGAATGATCGAAGACATTGTTGGCATATTGAATTGTTGACTGTACCCTCTGTACAAATATGATATGCACTTAGTTGCATGATGCACTATCTGGCGGCAATGGCGGAAGGCTCTAATGTCCTTACACTCAGAGATGCATAACCAGTTGATCAGGTCCTCGAATGTATGATGCTCATCACTGTGCAAACCAAACCTGCTGCGTGCCATGGTGGAAAGCGGAACAGTAGCATCTGAATACTCGCATCTGAGTGGACTTCCATGTTTATGTCTGCGCTCTCTTATCTGGGTGTTCATCATTATGTCAAGGGTAGACAGGGTAAGATCTGTTAGGATGTTTTACCTAATTTGTTGGACTTTTGCGTTGGTTTGGCTAATATGGCGGCTGCAGGTCTTTTGAATGGAGATGACAATTGTCCCAATAGCAACAATACAAATCAAGCAGATGGTGACCAGGATGGAGTTGGGGATGTATGTGATAACTGTCCACTCACTCCCAACAGCAATCAGGTGAGGAGACTTCAGGGCCGGAGGAAGGAGTTTGGGAGTGGTCCGGACAACCTTTGAGGGGGTCCGGGGGACCTCGTTAGAAATATATAAAATTCACATGAAATAGAGCGAATTTGGGCTTAAGGCTCCAGAAAATGCAGAAAATTATAGTAAAAGAACACAAACACAACTTTTTTTATCCATATCCTGAGCTACTTCGAAGCACATCACACGTCGGCAGTACAGACGAGTCATGTACCTCTGGATTTTTTTACATCGGCTTTGCACGAATCACATGGACCATCCAGCTGGGAAAGTGGTCCGGCCATGGCCGGACCAGCCTGACCGGTTCCGCCGGCCCTGGACTTGATAAGCAATCATTTCCGCAGGCTTCTCAAAGCTTCTTGGCCCACCATTGCCCACATGCTCATCTGGCTTTTGAGATACAGGATTACTGTGAATTCTGCCTTTCCACTTGCTAGGATAACTAAGCCAATGTAGGCTGATTACTTTTTCTGTGTGTACAGAGAAATCATGTGCTGACATGATTGTGTGTGTGTGTGTATATGTGTGTGTGTATGTGTGTGTGTGTGTGTGTGTGTGTGTGTGTGTGTGTGTGTGTGTGTGTGTGTGTGTGTGTGTCTGTGTCTGTGTGCGTGTGTGTGTGTGTGTGTGTGTGTGTGTGTGTGTGTGTGTGTGCTTGTGTGCATATGTACAACTGTCAGGCTGATTTTGACAACGATGGCCGAGGAGATGTCTGTGATGATCCCAATGACAGGTATGTTTTAGGTGCATTTGGAGAAACGCTCTATTTTTGGACACTTGGCTACATTTAAATTCATTTGTGACATTATCGGGTAAGGCATGAGCCTGGGCATTTTATTAAATTTAACGGCGCCAATTTTTCCTCCATTTGCGAAGTGGCTGACATTCTTGTTGGCTGACATAGGTATGAGACGAGAAGCTGCAATCTTATACGAACTCCTCAGAAATCCTTTGGTAACGCATACAAGTTTTCATTGTTTTGTGGAATAAGCCTACCTTTCCTATGTAGCTGTCACGAATCGAGCCTGCTGCTGCTGCTGCTGCTGTTGCTGCTTCCACTGCTGCTACCACTGCTGATGCTGCTGCTGCTACCACTGCTGATGCTGCTGCTGCTTCCATTGCTGCTGCTGCTTCTGCTGCTACCACTGCTGCTGCTGCTGCTGCTGCTGCTGCTGCTGCTACCACTGCTGCTGCTGCTGCTGCTGCTGCTACCACTGCTGCTGCTGATGATGATGATGCTGCCATCATGCTGACACCCTGACTGGACAACACCCTGGTGTGAATAAATCGAGCTGTGACAACTTGAACTCCAACAGTGCATGTACTATGTTCAATGTCATGGTTTATGGATGCGCACATGCGAGCATCCATGTGTGTGTCTGTGTATGCATCCACGTGCGTTTCTGTGGGTGCACATTCGAAAGGTTTGTGCTGTAGACCAGGCTAAGATGATGTTGGACATTTTCAGGCTTCGAGGCTGTTGAGTGCTGCAATGCCAACACAAGTTGCTAAGGCTTCACCTGTTCTATTGTGATCATGAATTTTGTGTGTTATGCCTAAGCTACATAATGTGTACCTTTTATTATGTTTGTGTATTTCTAATTCAGAGATGATGATGGTATTAAGGATCAGTTTGACAACTGTCCTGATGTGCCCAATGCTCCACAAATTGACACAGATGGCGATAACATTGGTGAGTAGTTGTCTTTTTTGACAGTGTTGTTACTGCTTCTGCTGCTGATGCACAGTACCGCTGCTGCTACTGCCACTGTCGTTGCTGCTGCTACTGCCATTGTTGCATCTTCCACCGCTGCCGCCTCTGCCTTTACCGCCACTGCTATTTCCGTTACCACTGCTAGCACTTCCACAGCTGCTGTTACCGCCGCTGTCACCTCTGCCGCTAATGCTAGTGCTGCTTCTACTGCTGCCGCTATAATCCACTACTTGATCACCACCATTGTCGCTACGTCCACTGCTGCTGCCACCTCTGTTGCCACTACCCCCCCCCCCCCCCCACTGCCAACGCTGCCGCTCTCCTGCTGTTGTTATCACTGTTGCAGCAGCAAGTCAGGTGTTCTGGAAGTATTTAAGTTGCAATAGCGGACTTGGAATGTACAGCTGTGCGATGTAGACGGGGCTAAACTGGTGTTGGATAATTCTACACGGAGACTGTGAAACAACTGAATGGCTCCAAGTGTACTGCTATGATTATCAGTGTTTTCAGTGATCACTTTACTGCTGTTAACCAAGGTCAACGATCAACCTGTCCACTGCACAAAATAGTTCTTGGGTTGTGTCAATGCCGGATTCAGCCATGGGCTCACACTAATTATTGTACTCTATTGGGGGCATGCACCTTGCTGGCAGTACAGATGTACTGTTGTTTGAAGACTGCAATCCTATCTCTCCCCCCGGTACAGTGTTGGGGAAGCTACACAGTTCAAAGTGGTCATATACGTTACACACGTCTCCACTAGTTGAGGGAATGGAAAAGGCATAATTATATCACTTATCATTTTTGACTTGGACATTGAATTCGAAGAATGCGGCTGCTTCTTGTTCCTAACAACTATATTCTCAGTATCGCATTGTTGACTAAAGGGTGTGTTTGTGTGCTTCTGTGCTTCAGGCGATGCGTGTGATAGTGACATTGATGGCGATGGGGTATTGAACAATGTGGACAACTGCTTGCTCATTGCTAATCCTGCTCAAGTTGATATTAACAGTGAGTTTCTAGCGGGATAATTTCATAATGATGATCCGTGTGTCTCTGTGTTTGTCGGGGGGGGGGGGGGAGGATTCTACATGACTGTGTGCGTGCTACGAAAGTGTGGGGACTATACTTGATGGTTGGTACACCGAAAACTATGGAGGTTTATGCTTGATGGGGGTGGGGAAGACTTTGTCTGGTGATCATTTAAATAGACATTTTCACGATATTAACATGATTTCTTAGGAGAGGAATGCCCTCTAGTCCTCTCCTTCCTTGAGAAGAAAGAATGTCATTGGTGTTCTTGTTGTTTCTATATTCAGGTAACGGCCGTGGAGATGTATGCGATACTGACTTTGATGGCGATGGTACTATTGATTGTGAGGACTCTTGTCCGCAGGATGCTAATGTCGGAGCACTGAATCTCTGCAACTTACAACAGTTCAATATTGATCCGCTTCGTAGAGAACAGACTGAAGCCGTGTGGCGCTCATCCCCGACTGTGAGTGCACGCGATGACTGCTTCTGCTACTGATACCATTTCTGTTCCTGCTGGTCATGCTATTGTTGTTGCAGCTGCTGTAGCTGTCACTGCCGCTATTGCTGCTGCTGCTGCTGCCGCTATTGCTTCTGCTGTTGCTGCTGCTGCTGGTGGTATCGCCCCCTCCGGCACCGCTGCTGCTGCCGGTTTCGCCGCCTTTCTCTCTTTCTCCCTCTCTCTCTCTCTCTCTCTCTCTCTCTCTCTCTCTCTCTCACACACACACACACACACATGCATGTCCCCACACCACCACTGCCGCCACCACCATCACCACCACCACCACCACCACCATCACCACCACTACCCATAAACCTCCTCTCTTACCCACTCATTGTCTCTGTTTCTCTTGCTTTGTGTGTTACAGTGCAGGGAGGTTGTTCAGAGTCTGAATGCTGATCCAAGTGTTGTAGTATGTAAGTAGTCTTTTCAGCATCAACTTGATTCTCCTATATTTCATGGCAATGCTATCCAATTATGGTACATGTATACTCCTCTCTAATGTCCTCCTGATTATGATTCTCTCATGACTGCCTCAAGTCCCCAGGCACAGGTCAACCATTTCTCGTTCCTGAATTTCTTCTGCCTTGGCTCTTGAGGTTTGCAGTATTCATGTAATACTGCAGTTGTACATTGAGCTGACAACAGCTCTGTCTCGAGGTTTGCAGTATGCTGCAGTTGTACATTGAGCTGACACCAGCTCTGTCTCGAGCTATTGCCAAGGACACATACATGTATGCACTTGCGAGTTGCAAAAAGTGGAACCTCAAGTCTGCTTCCTCTCTCGCTCGCTCTCTGCCTGTCTCTCTGCATCTATCTGTGTCTGTCTGTCTGTATCTCTGTATCTGTATGTGTCTCTGTCTGTCTGTCTGTCTCTCTCTCTCTCTCTCTCTCTCTCTCTCTCTCTCTCTCTCTCTTTCTTTCTCTCTCTCTCCTCTCCTCCCCCCTCTCTCTCTCTCTCTCTCTCTCTCTCTCTCTCTCTCTCCCTCTCTCCCTCTCCAAGAAACCTACCTGACCGTATGAGACTGTGATCATTTGTGAGGGCATGTAAGGATGCAACTAGAAATTATATTTTAGTCCGCAAGGGGACATAGCATGCTTGTGTGTGTGTGTGTGTGTGTGTGTGTGTGTGTGTGTGTGTATGTGTGTGTGTCTGTGTGTGTGTGTGTGTGTGTGTGTGTGTGTGTGTGTGTGTGTGTGTATGTGTGTGTGTCTGGGTGTGTGTGTCTGGGTGTGTGTGTGTGTGTGTGTGTGTGTGTGTGTGTGTTTGTGCATGTATATGCTCCTAATGCCCAGCACAACAGCGTTTCTCCAGTATTATCTTCGAAGGTGGTATCTATGTAGCCTCGGACCCAGTCAACCAAGATGATGATTTTGTCGGTATTGTCTTCTCCTTCCAAAGTACTAATCGTTTTTACATCCTGCACTGGAAGCGAGGAGAACAACCTACATTCACAGATGATCCATTCAGAGGATTCAACTTTCCTGGCATTCAGTTGAAGGTAAGAAATACTTCTCTGGCAATGAAATGTCTTCCTTCCACCTGGCCCACATATTGGGTGACATGGAGTCCTACGAAAATCGTCCAAATTGGTGCAAAACCACCTAGTGTAAATGTGGCTGTTGTACAGTTCTGCATATCTATGACGATACGGGCAAGACTATGATTGGACAACACGGTCAAACTATAATTCAGGGATGCATAGCAGCGTACCACACAACTTGCGCAGCTCTGAAGATACGAAGATCAAATGGAGGGGAAGCTAAGCGAACATAAACCTTGCAAAACCGTATTGTCCATTGGTCTTGCCAGTATCGTCATCGACATTCATGTACTTCAAAGTACATCCGCAAATGTTCTCCAAAGCTGAGACTTTCAGCTTGTGCTTGTCTTGGTTGCACTCACCTTCCCCTCCTATGTTAGTACTGCACATATAGCATAGAGCCTGTTCAATCATATTTTTCTTATCCAGCCTGCCTGGTTACGAGTACAGTCGTCCCTCTCTAATCCGGCACTTGTTTATCCGGAACCCTTGCCAACCGGCGCACTTTCTGACGAAACCGATTTTTTTCGTTCAATTCCTACATCTTAATCCGGCACTTGAATTCCGCCTCCGGCAGTGACTTTTTGAAACGAATCGCTCAAACTGCACGTAGTTTGATTTCATAATCCGGCAGTCGTAAATCGCGTACCGTACAGGTGCACTCCTTGCCAGGCCAGGCTAGGCTTGTCCAGGAGACAACGGCAGTCAACCATACTTTCTTATTTTTATTTAGCAAGGAGTAGTGTCCTGCCAATTTTCAGGTGTGTGTGTGTGTGTGTGCGTGTGTGTGCAAGCGTACATGTGAACATGTTCTCTGTTTTACTTTATCACTGTGTATATTCCCGGAGAACAATTGAGAATATAAAGCCGTGCACCAAATACTTGGGTCGACACGAAAAAACCCTGCGTTTTGACATACATATGATACATGCATGCAATTGGGTAGGGCCGGGTCAGAGGGCAGGATTTCTTAATCCAGCACCCTCGTTAATCCAGCAGAAAATGCCGTAGCAAAAGGTGCCGGATTAGAGAGGGACGACTGTACTTCCCATATCTTGGAAATATCCCTAACTCTGAATCACATACGGTTGATGGGTACCCAAAAATTGAGGAAAGAGTAGTAATATTTCCACTTGAACCTACCCCCCCCCCCCCCCCCCCGGTAGACCGATGTACCCGTGAACCTGAGGAGGTCCGGATAAGACTCATTAAGAGTGGACATGTACACACAAAAGGCACAAAAGAGGTTTGTTGAGTTGTCGCAACTCCGAGTTTCTTGCTCTGTGCAATAATCGGCCAAGCAATCATCAGATATTTCTTGTATATATGTAGGACTCAGTGACCAGTCAAGGCCCCGTGACCAATCACGGTCCCCGTGACCAGTCAAACAGTCACAAACCCCCCATGACCAGTCACAAATTAGTTTACCAGTCACAATGCCTCATGACCAGTCACAAATCACCATACATGTACATGTGTAAAGTACACAGTTCGTGACTGCTCGCAGGGTGCTTCGTACTGCAGGATTTGTTGTGGAAACTATAATTCCCTATGACCGGTCACAGAATACAGTTTTGACCACTATAATTCCATGCGAACAGTTACATGCGGAATGTACAGTTGTGACCACTCTTTCTCTGTGAGTAGTCACAGGCAGAATATAGGTATTTCTGTATTACAAGAGAGATTGGAGGCTTTGTCACAACTCTGAGCTTCACGTATTACTACGATCGTCAGGCAACTGAGGGCTCCTAAACGGGCAGCCTGAACATAATGGGGGGCAAAGTGGGAAATTCTGAGGGGTATCATAGGCGACGGGTATTATAGTGCAAGAGTCAGGTGCAGGCGTGAAGTTGCCAAGTCTTCAGACTCGGGGCTATGCAGCAGCAGTTCCAGCGTGAATGACATAGAATAGAGCTGGGGACCACACATGCCCACACCATTACACACACATACACCCACACTCTCTCCCATTTCTCACATACACCCACACGCGCGCGCACACACATACACACACTCATTCTCTAAATCTCTCTCTCTCACACACACACGCACATATGTCATTCATTCTCTACATCACACACACACACACACACCTGGCTTGGTGTACAGCTGCCAAATGCTTAGCCACGCCGCCCCCGAGACAGGGGGAGAGTAGAAGAGAGAGTTTGAGACACACACACACACACACACCTGGCCTGGTGTACAGCTGCCAAATGCTTGGCCACGCCGCCCCCGAGACAGGGGGAGAGTAGAAGAGAGAGAGTTTGAGACACACACACACACACATACACACACACACACATACACACACACACACACACACATTCTCTAAATCTCACACACACTCACACACACATTCTCTCTCTCTCACACACACACTCTCTTTCTCACGCATGCACACACACACACACACACACACACACACACACACACACACACACACAAATAGGCAGCGGGACTACCAGCTAGATTCACTTGACCTTGCGGACAAAGTTACGGAGGTAGAACTTGTTTTCATGACGACACTTGGACACAAGTACTTCTGTATTATTATTTTATCTCTTTTCAACCAATCCACAAGCCAAGAAGAGATGCGTAGACGGAAGAACCGTACTCTTGGTGATACTGATCGCAAACATGATTAATTCCTCCAGGCCATTGAGCACCCAATTCTAAACCTTATCTAAGCAAAGCAGCATGCCAGTTCAAGAACATCTCGTCAGACATACATATCGATACATGTCTGGTGCACTCTCATTACAAGCAGGCATCGCAGGCTACATTCGCACCAGCAATCAAAAGAAGTTGAAGTGAGTGAATATTTCTATAAAATTAATAATTGGAAGACAAATGAAGGTGTGGAGGATCGCCCAAAAACACTGACAAGGAGACAGTAAACGGTACACAGTACTCGTATGCATGTACTTATACACGTTATAGCAGCACAACGAGAAAGACCATGATGCATAATGTTGCATCAATAAATTTTACAGAGTTATTTTGGGAGTAGAAATGAAGATGTGTTCGAAGCAGTAAACTGCGTAAGCACTACGTTGAGCCAGAATATTGAAATACAGTTTCCTGCAGTCAAAACAAGACACTCACACTTCTCTGGTCTAGTTCGCCATTCTTATCGATAAACATGACTTGATTTAATTTCTTACGATGGTTCTTGAGAATGGATCAATGATGTCTTGAATAGATGTCTTCCTGAACGACTTCAACTGAGAGGCAGTTTCAGTTTCAACAAGCTGGACATTGATTTTCTGTGGAGTCTTCCACAAGAAAGACAGAGCTACACACACGAAGGTGCTTGATGTACTCAGTACCTTCTTGGAAATGAACATATTTTCATTTCCATCTTCATTATATTTTCGTCTCTGCATCGTCGACGATGTCCACTTCTGACTCCGTAATCTTGTCACCCATCCTCTCCAAAAACACAAATCGAGTGCTGCTTGCATGCTGGATCAGTTGAAGTCAGTCTCTGCTCTAGCAAGATCGGCATGCAAAAATTACATGACTGAAAATATTCCGAAATAGCTTTTCTGAGCGACGAAGTTTGTTCTTCAAATATGATGAATAGCACAACCTAATAGCCAGAACGTCCTCTCAAAAGAGATTCTATCTGAAGCCTGCAAGATTTTCGACCACCCTTCGTTTTGGAGAGGAGCCCACACACACCAGACTCGAGCTACAAGTAAACTACGCGGAGATCGAGAGTTGATCGAAATCTTTCTTGCTCACTTCTGAAACATGTGAAGGAAAAAAGTATGCTGAACGCGTGAATGCCCACAGTTGAGTCGTAATATTTTGACGTGGATCCTGTGACCGTTCACAGAGAAAGTCGCGGCTGTTTCTGACTGGTCATCGGGATTCAAACTGGTGTGTGACTTTATGATTGCTCTTCGGGGATGTGTGACTGTTTGATTGGTCACGGGGATCGTGATCGGTCATCGAGACGTGACTGCTCACTGAGTCCTACATATATGTTGGTTTCAGTCTTGGGATTTCAGGAGTATCATCGTGTTGCCAGCTGGGCAGTTCGATAGCCAATTGGGACATCTTTCAAAATTAATTTTTGAATCTCTCTCCAATCTCCCAGAGAGACCCAAGTGTCCAGTTTCTGGAAGTGAGCAAGTGCGTTGTGTATGTGTGTATGTGTGCATGTGTATGTATGTGTGCACGCACTTGTATGTGTGCATGTGCATGCTTGGGTGTACGTACATACATGATACATGTGTGGGTGTGTTCACGTGAATTTTGTAACACCTACAGCTTGTCAACTCCAGCACCGGAATCAACAACACATTCTTACGTTATGCACTGTGGCACCACTTGGATATTGAGGGAGAGGTAGGTGTATGCTGTGTTTTAATGCAACATGGCTGCCATGTTGTGAATGCTGTGTTTTAATGCAACATGGCTGCCATGTTGTGAATGCTGTGTTGTAATGCAACATGGCTGCCATGTTGTGAATGCTGTGTTGTAATGCAACATGGCTGACATGTTGTGAATGCTGTGTTGTAATGCAACATGGCTGACATGTTGTGAATGCTGTGTTGTAATGCAACATGGCTGCCATGTTGTGAATGCTGTGTTGTAATGCAACATGGCTGCCATGTTGTGAATGCTGTGTTTTAATGCAACATGGCTGCCATGTTGTGAATGCTGTGTTGTAATGCAACATGGCTGCCATGTTGTGAATGCTGTGTTGTAATGCAACATGGCTGACATGTTGTGAATGCTGTGTTGTAATGCAACATGGCTGACATGTTGTGAATGCTGTGTTGTAATGCAACATGGCTGCCATGTTGTGAATGCTGTGTTGTAATGCAACATGGCTGCCATGTTGTGAATGCTGTGTTGTAATGCAACATGGCTGACATGTTGTGAATGCTGTGTTGTAATGCAACATGGCTGCCATGTTGTGAATGCTGTGTTGTAATGCAACATGGCTGACATGTTGTGAATGCTGTGTTGTAATGCAACATGGCTGCCATGTTGTGAATGCTGTGTTGTAATGCAACATGGCTGACATGTTGTGAATGCTGTGTTGTAATGCAACATGGCTGCCATGTTGTGAATGCTGTGTTGTAATGCAACATGGCTGACATGTTGTGAATGCTGTGTTGTAATGCAACATGGCTGCCATGTTGTGAATGCTGTGTTGTAATGCAACATGGCTGACATGTTGTGAATGCTGTGTTGTAATGCAACATGGCTGCCATGTTGTGAATGCTGTGTTGTAATGCAACATGGCTGACATGTTGTGAATGCTGTGTTGTAATGCAACATGGCTGCCATGTTGTGAATGCTGTGTTGTAATGCAACATGGCTGACATGTTGTGAATGCTGTGTTGTAATGCAACATGGCTGCCATGTTGTGAATGCTGTGTTGTAATGCAACATGGCTGACATGTTGTGAATGCTGTGTTGTAATGCAACATGGCTGCCATGTTGTGAATGCTGTGTTGTAATGCAACATGGCTGCCATGTTGTGAATGCTGTGTTGTAATGCAACATGGCTGCCATGTTGTGAATGCTGTGTTGTAATGCAACATGGCTGACATGTTGTGAATGCTGTGTTGTAATGCAACATGGCTGCCATGTTGTGAATGCTGTGTTGTAATGCAACATGGCTGCCATGTTGTGAATGCTGTGTTGTAATGCAACATGGCTGCCATGTTGTGAATGCTGTGTTGTAATGCAACATGGCTGCCATGTTGTGAATGGTAGAGACTATACAACTACAGTAACTGTTGCACTCCGTGAATTTGACCGACAGTGCATATTTGGCGCCCTCAACGTGCACGGCCCTTGACACCCTGGAAGTGGCACGAATGCGGCTGCACATTGTACATGTACGAATACATGTACAGTGATGTAACCGGAACTGGTTCAGGGTGCCAGCTTTGCGCTTTTGGTCAGATTTCACGGAGCGCAGCTGTATTAGTACAGAGAACATTGCCAAAATGACTGTGCGACAGCGGTGAGCGTGTTTACCAACACAACATATCAGCAGGGTGCTTACCAGGTTTCACGGCGCGCTGAAATAAGCGATTTTGGTCAGGGTGCAGTTTTTCAAGGTAACGCTTGATTGCTGTTAGCTGTGTTTGATTCTATTTCATTTTGTGTAGCCAAGAACTTGGTGGGGCTATGTGCGGTGGAAGTTGAAAATATATTATTGCCTCCTCGTATGTTATTTAAATACTAGTACTTTGCTGTCAGACTTGCAACTTCTATCAGCATCTGATAAAATGAGATGCGCTCTGATAAAGGGTATAGTATTGGAAAGGTGTTTGCTTCCCACACAGGAGCTCGCACGTTCTCGCCGACTTGACTTGACACTTGACTGACTCACGACTGCCATCCAAAGTACTCGAGAAGCCCATCAAACCTTCGACTCGGCAAACCTGCAAGAAAGCACCAAGCACCACTCCCCGCTCAATACACTGTGTTTCGGCGCATTCACCCCTCATCAGTGCAAGTCATGATAAGTAATTCACAGGGATAATGTAGTTCTTACATAATATTATGAGTTTTGTCCTTGTCTTGTCTTCCACATCTAGACAACCGTGTTGTGGGAGCATATTAACCGTACATCTACAGCCAGCCGAGTGAACGATGAGTTTGGATGGAGGCCCGATACGGCGTATCGATTCCGTGTAGAACATGATACGTCTCAGGGAAGAATTGAGTAAGTAACTAATTCATGTGGAAGACTAATGACATGCTCATAGTAGCCATCAACCAGGGTAGTGCTTGCTCCATGTTAGAAGCAAATTTCTTCATGGACGTACATTGTACTCTTGTTCGTTCGGCTTGAGCTAAGTGCACATGCACATGTTGCACTCATTTTCAGCCAAGTGTGTGCTCCGTTGCTGGATTTGCAGGCTACTGTTCTCCAACTGAATATCTGATAGGCTGTCATAGATATATTGTGTACAAGCAGTCTATAGAGGTTAAGTGATTACGTCATCGGTTGAGATGCAAAGTCGCGGACTCGCGATACAGCGCTGCACTTGCACTAGCCACACATGCATCATACATAGCGCACATAGGCGAATCTCCTGACTCAAGCTGCATACTGAGCACCCATGAGCAGTTCTGCTGATTCAGCCAATGAAATCATTCGCATAACCTCTATGCCTGCTGCTGCTGCTGCTGCTGCTGCTGCTGCTGCTGCTGCTGCTGCTGCTGCTGTTGTTGTTGTCGTCGCTGGTGGTGGTGTCGTTCTTGTCATTCTTGTCGCTGTCCTGTTATTGTAATGGCCACTCAGGTATTCCTATGTTCTTTTTTCTTGCTGTCTCATTGTCTCATTGGCTTTAGAAATAGCATTGTATTTTGCTATTTGATATGTGTTCTTTCTGTAGAGTGACAATTTTTGAGGGATCCAGAGTGTTTGCTTCGTCAGGGCCAATTTACAACAGTTTCTTGACTGGAGGGCGCATCGGCTTCTACGATTATTCCCAAGCCCGAGCTATCTTCTCTGACTTGCGTATCCGGTGCAGTGGACCGTAAGAAAGGAAGGATAGAATGCGCTTGTTTTTGCTTTGAGCACTGAAGTAGGTTTGGCAGGAACTGTAATATGTGTGGCAGTGACTGTGATAAAGAGTTGTAAGGTAATGGCTGAAAGGGTATTGACAATGTCAAGGTGCTTTTCTATGTTTCTTGCAACAGTACAAAAATATTAAAATTCCCTTTCATAGGCTAACGCCCGTACCTCAGTCAATGTGAGCCGTATTTTGACTTCACAGCACTTTAAAAGCTGCTGTTTTGAAACCAACACCAGATTGGGATGTGGCATGCTATCTCATTCTTAGAAGTAGATTTGCGTTGAGTGAAAATTCTCATTTCCTTGTCAATCAATAATCAGCTTTCTTTTCCTCTGACTAACTCACTGACTTACTTTTGCATAGTTGTATACTCGCTACAGTTAAATGTTGCGGAGGTCGGAGGTGTATTGCAAGTACTTACTGTTGTGCAATGTATCTACTGTTGTGCAATGCTGTGTAATGCTGTGTAATGCTGTTGCTGTCGCTATTTACACAGGTCAAACTATGCTCTTTCATTCGATGGTGCTGACAGTGGTGTGCAGCTGCCAGCGTATTCACAATTGTTTGATAGGACTCTCAGGTATGTCTCGCCACTGGCAGCCATCAGGCTTGATAACAGGCTTGATTTGTTGACATGCTCTCCTAGTGATAGTTTGCTGCCAAGCATCATTAGTACTGTGTGGTATGCTGCTGTGTGGGTACGGGGCTGTGTGGCATGCTGCTGTGTGGTATGGGGCTGTGTGGCATGGGGCTGTGTGGCATGGGGCCGTGTGAGACGGGGCCGTGTGGGATGGAGCTGTGTGGTATGCTGCTGTGTGGTAGGGGGCTGTGTGGTATGCTGCTGTCGGCATGGGGCTGTGCGATATGCTGCTGTGTGGTATGCTGCTGTGTGCTATGGGGCTGTGTGGCATGCTGCTGTGCGGTACGCTGCTGTGCCGCATGGGGCTGTGCGGTATGCTGCTGTGCGGTATGCTGCTGTGGGGTATGCTGCTGTCTGGCATGGGGCTGTGTGTTATGTTGCTGTGTGGTATGGGGCTGTATGACATAGGGCTGTATGGCATGGGGCTGTATGGTATGTTGCTACTGTTATTGGTCATAGTGTACTGATAGCCATGACGTTTGTGAGGTAGTGTGCTGATGGAATCTTATGTACTCTCATTCCACATAAACTAACAGACTACACCGACAGACATAGACATAGTCAGCAACAGTATACGTGATGGGTAGTTTGCCGTAACACGTTGATCCGATTTTAGAGAATATTCAGGTTATGCCGTTAAGCGAAAACCGAGTACGGAACATCTGGAAAGAGAAATGCATGAAATGGGATGTAACAAACGGACTAATACACTGCGTGAATGCATGAAGTGGACAACTTGAGACTATCAGGCTAGTTAATGTGGACCAAACTAACCAGCAGACTGAGGCACTAATGAGGAAAGACGGAGTGTATAACCCCAAGTGGCAACAAAGAGCTATGGAACTATCATGGCCAAAAACATGATAACATAGTTGGGTGATGGCAAGATCAGTAAAAGAATAAACGGACTCCAGCAACGCAAACATCACAAGAAAATTAAATATGTTCACGAGAAATCATGTGTTCCTCAGTTTGTCGCTGCATTCCGCCAGTGAGAGAGTTGTGCGTATCTGCTCATTGCTACACTGCTACATCCTATTTTCTGTTCTGTCAATCTCTTACAGCTTCACGGTAGACTTAAATGTGTACCCAACCAACACGAGGGAATCTATCATCTTTGGTAGTGATGCTCCGTCAACGCTGCGGGGTCTCTTCATCTCAAGCAACATGTAAGTAAATACTGCGTAGAGTCAATGCAGCCAGGACTGTCACAGCAGCTGGATCGACCTGGGCAGTTAGGGCAGCCACTGCATCCACTGCAGCCACGATCAGGGCAGCCAATGTCAACATGTGCATACATGTGTGTGTATGTGTGTGTGTGTGTGTTTGTGTGCGTGTGCGTGCATGCATTTATATTTGTGTGTGCATGTGTGTTTCGTTGCAATGATTCATGCTTCTTTCTTCCTTCTGTTCTTCGGTTAGGCGTGTAACAGCCCGATGGGATGTGACGTCCGTAACATCATCCCAGCCTCTGCCACTCAACACCTGGAGTAGAGTGTCTATGTCGTATGATGCAAGTAAGCCATCCCTCTACTTATTCATCCATTCACTCACTCACTCATCAATGCAGCCACCCTCCATCCATATTCATCCACTCACCAACCAGCCATCTAACCTCTATCCATCCTTCACTCATTCACTGATCCATCTATACGTTACCCATCCATCCCTCCATTTACTCATCTAGTCACCTGTCTTGCTACCCATCCACCCACCCATCGTTCCGTCCGTCCGTCCAACCATAAACCCATACGTACACGCATGTATACATGTATAGGATAATATTGATTGTAAGAAAGTTTTTCAAACTGATCAGTCGGGGAAGTGAACTGCCTAAAAAGTCAAAAAATACCAAGCCCAGCAGAACTTGAACCCGGGGCATTGCTTGTCATGAGCAATGCTCTTACCATCTGAGGTATGGGTTTAAGTGCCGCTAGGGTTAACCGGTTGTTAGCGGCCATCGTGAGTTCCCTTTGGGAACGGACACGATATTTACTTTTTTATGGGTTTAATTCCCTGACAGTGATCATTTGAATTTGAAGTTCTCCCAATAACATTCCATATAAGACTAGTAGTGTCTACAGCTGCCAAAAGAGTGCTCACCATGGCAACAGGGAGGGAGCAGTAACACAGCAGTAACACTGTAGTGAAAGAGAAACGGTGAACCAAAAGAAATAAGTTCTTGCTCTGAGTTACGTGCTCTAGCATTCATCAGAAAACTAAATAATTATGACATACCGTATTTTAGCAAATAGTAGGCCGGTGTACTATTTTTTCAAACTCGTCCTAACCCGGCCTTATAATTGAGGATGGTCTTGTATTCGAGGATGGTCTTTTATTTTATTCTTTCAATCCAGTTTGACCCCGGTCTTCTATTTTTCGCAGAGCGTGATGGCGGAATCACAAGAAATCAGAAGATGTGCCACACATCGTGACACATGCCACGTGTACTTGCAGTTTTGTACAAAATGGCAGCCGTCGCACTGCGCATGCACAGTCGTAAGACTCATTTAGTAGGCCCGGTCTTCTAATCGGAGACGGTCTTGTATTTTTTCAATCGCCCCTGCCCCGGCCTTGTATTCGATGAAGGCCTTGTATGCGAGGACGGCCTTTTATTTGCGGAAATACAGTATGAACTACTCTTGACCAGTATGCATGTATGCCTGTATGTGTGTGCATGGTGTGTGTGTGTGTGTGTGTGTGTGTGTGTGTGTGTGTGTGTATGTGTGTGTGAGGGGGTCGTATGTGTGTGTGTGTGTGTGTGTGTGTGTGTGTGTGCGTGTGCGTGCGTGTGCGTGTGTGTGTGCATGTGTATGTGTGTACATGTATGTGTGTATGTTCACATGTGTGTGCGCATGTGTGTGGCTGCATACGTCTGTATATATTTTTGAAGGTACATCTCAACTGTCCCTACGCATGAACTGTCAATTGGTTGGTTCAACAACTCTATCAAATGCTGTAAGACTTACTTCAGACATACATGTATCACACTTTGCTGAAGCTGATCTTCAGACATACTAGTGCATGCATTAAAATACGGTAACACTAGTCTTCAGACATTCAACGTACATGTACTACACTAAGATGAAAGTGGTCAAAGTAGCTATAGATGAACCTCAGGAATCTGTCCGTTTTCCAATCAAGCTATTACAGTGGTCCAAATTTGGAGGTGAATATTTTCATGTGACTGTGTACAATATTCACTAGTTGAGGGAATGGAAAAGGGAAAAGTCTGAAAAAAAACTGTCACCACCAGTACTCGAACCTAGGGATTTTCCCATGAGGCCAGTGATGCCCTAACTAGTGAGCTATGATGTAGCTGTTTATACTAGTAATAAGTACTAGTGTTTATACTAGTAATAAGTACTAGTATGTACTTCAAAGAATCTTTTATGTGCATTATTGGGTACTGTAAATGCCATTATTCTCACGAGGCGCATATATAACGATTTCCCAAAATTGACTAGTTTATGTGTACCAAAGGTAACGATTCTCACTTTTTCTCAACGCTCAATAGGACAGTATATGTATCGATTTCTGTATAACGATTACTATTTTAACAACAGATTTCTCCTCGTTAAGTCGTTAGAGTTAGCACTTCGTTATAATTATGGCTTTTACAATAAGCCTTGTGCAGGAGGTTAGATGGTACCGTAGGGCTTGTGAGCGCGTCTATAATCACTGACAGCAACATTCCCTACGCCAGATGGGAACCAGTCCCGCTCCAGGGCGCAGCGCATGAGCTCTCATCGTCAGTTGCTGGTCATCCATGGCCAGTTTTGCAACTGGAGACAGGTTTATGGGCAAGCAGGAGATGGGCTTATGTATGTATTTACTTGGAAGTATGATGAATGTGTGCGTATAATGTGTTTGTATAATGTGTGTGTATGTGTGTAACTGTGTGCCCCCTTGTACCTGTTCAGGTTATCTCCGAAGCATCCCAGACGCTGTATCTTGCTTATACCCCCAGTGATCTGAATAATCGTTTCACAGGACGTCTTGATAATGTAAGTACCAGGTGAATGCTACGTGAATTGCGATAAACTCATAGTGAGTTATGTTGAGTCATCGAAAGTCCCATGTCTCCACACTCACCGTGACAAGCCACGCACGAGGTAGGTGGAGAAGACATCAATTTTATTGGGGGAAACAATGGGGGGGGGGGAGGGAGAGAGACAGAGCGACGAACGACTATCTTACGGGAACGCAGGAAGCTACAGGGTGCAGGCCAGCTGGAGAAAGGATTTGTGAGGAAATGTACTCTCCATTCATGTGTAAATTGAAACAGGTTTCATTGACTCAAAACACCCGGTTGGATATAGCCTTAACGTTTTCATGGAGTCTGGTTTATCTTAGCGTGTTCATGAAATGTGTGTTTCTCCCATTTTAGTGGTTTGTTGACTGATATTTTCTCTGGTCATGTATGTGTACGGTGTAGGTTGGTATCTGGAACAGCGACATCTTTTCATTGTCTGGCCAGTTCTGCGACCCACCAGCATCTCTTCTCAGCGCATCAGCTGTTGCTTATTACCGCGCTAACTCTGGCCAGGGGCGCACACTGGTCGATGATGCTGGTAATGAGCACGCTACTCTTGTTGGCACCGCCATGTGGGTCCCGGTAAGTATTGATGCCACCACCAATAACACTGTTGCAACATCGCTGCATTATTCCTGCAACATTGTTGCAACATTGCTGTAATATTGTTGTAACATTTCTGCAACAAAGTTACAACACTGTTGCAACATTGCTGCGGCAATGCATTTCATCTTCAATGAGCGACGCGGAGATATTATCTTCTTTCTTTTTTTTCTCGCATGGCCCCTGCTGGTATGTACCATGCGGATGTCTGCAAAAACCTTGCACGGTGTGAGACATTGCCAAGAGATGTAAATCATGCATGAATGGGTGACTGAAAATGATCACATGGCTCTTCCTGAGGTATAGGTGACTTCTACCGACTCACGATTTCATTCCATTGCCACATTGCTTAGAGGATTCCATGTACCCGAAAACAACCTGGAAAGCAACGATCCAGTAGCAACAGCTCGCTTACGTTCTCTAAGGTCCGTTTGTGGTACATTGACTATGCCATAAAACGATGCTAGCTGGTGCTATATGTCACAGGTATACAGATGGAGCGTGAAAGCAAGAGTTTGGCATGGGCATGCGTATGTACCTTCTCTATGTCAGTATGTATGTCCTGTAAGTCACAGTGTCTCAGGGCCGGCGCCACTGGTGCGGCCGATACGGCCATGGCCGTAACAAAAAAACAACAAAAAAATCCCAAAACGTCGGTCCACGTGGCCGTGGAACGTCGAAAACCGTGGAGAAAAAGTTTCAATGTATGATTTTGTACAGGGAGTCGCCCAGAGTGCAGGATTTGCCATCTAAATTCCCAAAAAATTCTGAGGGACGACCCCCAGACCCCCCATAAAGATGGCCCTTCCGCCGCACCGCTCCGCGGAAGCTGCCTCCGGCCCTGTATCTGAGCCGCTTTTCTTCTCGCACTAGATGCTTGAACTGACCAATCATGTTTTGTTTGTTGTGTGTTGGCTGTGCAGGGTGATTTGTTGCCTTGTTCCATCTGCACTGTCTAGACCGTGGACTGTACTGTGTGCAGTCGCTAAAGTACTGGCTGTCGAGTATTCGCCAAACCTCACGTGAAAACAGTGTTAGCTTCTAAAGCAGACCTGCTGCAATGTGTGCAGTGTAGTGCACTTCCTAGTTTACTAATCTTCTGTCTCTTTGGTTATGCTGTAACTGTTACTGCAAAGTATCAGTAATTAGTGTATCAGTTGTATAGGTGAATGTTTGATCTTGCTGTATAATAGTAGCAGTACAACAATCTTTCAAGTTTACTGATGTTTAGTCATTGCCATCTTGGTCTGTGGGTTGTTGATATGTACTCGGTGCTCAAACTGCTCTTCTTTTTCTTCTTCACCCTATTCCACTACTGATATTCAGCTGACTTGCACTGTAATGCCGAACTGCAGTCACGGCAGTGCGGCATGCATTATAGTGGTGTGACGACATAGCATAATTATAGTATGTGACGATGTCACGTCATACCTACATGTATGTGCCAACACGCCTGCATGACTGTATGTGTGACGGCCTGTGTGACTGTTTGTGTGACTGCCTGTGTGACTGCATGACGGCATGACCATGCTGGCTGGTAACAAACTGTACTGATGGAAGCAGGGAATATCAAAATACCCATATGACCACTGCCTGGATGTAACTGTGTGGTGTAAACACTGCCTACGTGTAGATATAACTGTATGGAAGTGTGAAACTGCCATACAAGTACTTGTAAATGTCATAGTCTATAGTGTCTGCTGGATAGCAGCGAGGCAGATTGGAGAGTTGGGCAGAGTCAGCAAAAGGAGACAATACATTGCTGCTACGGTTAACATATTTGCCGACATATGTTTTGTTTGTAGCCACTTGAAGTGCATGTTGGAGGTCTCCAGACCTTTTCAGGTGGATGTTGCTCGCTGCTAGTCCAGATGATACTGCTGCTGCCACCGTAAAACATGGCCGGTCTATGCTACCCTTCTCATCTTGAGAGAAATACCCGGCTAGACTGTGACTGAGTGAATTATCATTCGCGTGTACTGCTTACGCTCGCATTATCAAGTATGTAGGCCATCTCACTATTAAAAATATTTTGCCACAACAGCAACCCACACATGCGAGGAGCATTGCAAAATAAATGATGTCAACTTGAAATTCTACCGCGGGACAGCATGCTGGAGTTGCACGCTGCTCCCAAGGTTATGACTATATTCTTGCCGATATTACTGCTGCCCAGTCTTGCTAAGTACCACAGCAGTACAGTATTACAGTTAGTCTCCTAAGGGCACCTAGTTATAGCTAGCAGCTCGTGCTTCTACCCAACAACTAATCAGCATAGGCCAGAACCACCGGCAGCTGTGAAATGGTTCATAGTGTTACTTGTATAGCTACATGTGTCCAATGTGTGTTCAATGTATATTGAGCCTTGGGTATGCGCTCACTGTACCACCATCAAGAGTATATAATAAGCCCCCAAGACTGCAAGAGTGTGCAACTCCTGATACCCTTTCTATGAGGTTCGCCAACGGTGTGGTGTAGTGTCCCAGTTGTACCGCGCGTATGCAACTCGCCAGCATAACCATTGCAGATATTCAGATTGCCCGCACGCTCTCCTTAGTTGTACGTAGTACAAAACGTACCTGAGACACGTGATGTGAGCTCTCGCCGTCGGACACCCCATATGCAGAGTTGCACACTCTTGGGGGCTTATATACTGTTGCCGCCATGCTACCATGCCAAAGTGAAGACGGCGTGAACACATCAAAGTATGCGGTGGACAGTACCCCATTGCCTCATTTTCTGGGCACCTTCATATGGCAATGGCGCACACACCACTAACTCATTGTCCCAAGTGCGTTTTCTGGACAGTATGTAAAGTCGGCCAGGCAGTGGAAGTGGACGAACTATGGCGTGGTTAGTAGTGCACCAAATCTATTACACTGCCGTATTCACAGCTCAGTAGTTGTCCGCGGATGGCCCGGAGTGTCATGTACAATATGTACACTAGTGTTACACCGCTATTACTACCACTAGTACAGTGTCGTACTGAGTAGCTAGCATGTACTACATGTAGGAGATTGAGTGTATTGAACATCAGATGAATTTAGGGCAACTTTGAATGTTGAACATTAGTTCATCATTGTTCTGAACATACATGTGCATGTACTTGCTTGCATTGCTCTGGATTAGCGTTGAAGACTTCCAAGTCACATCGCCGGTTAGAAGTAAGCAAACTGGTATAACCTATTTGTATACACTCTTCTCACTAACGCCTGGGAAATTTACCCGCATCTACATCTAGTATCAACTCAGTAACATTGTAATACTACAAAACTGTAAAGGCGTGTGTTTTGCCGTGGCTACGTTTATTGTCAGACTCGTAAAAAAATTTACCGCGGTATGTGCGTAAAACAGTTCTAAAAAGAATTATTATTTTAATTTGTTTGTTGTATGCATAATGCATGATTTTATTGAACAAATTAATTATGGTGCGAGTGTTCAAAACAATCATTATTACTATTAGTTAGTTCACCACGCAGTGGTATTCATCTTCTTTTTGCCATGCTAGCTTTGCATCGTCCTTAGCTTGTACTTCAAAAGTATTTGTAGCGAGCTGTGGTGGCTTCCGCCCTCCGCTACCTCTGGGCCGGGGGTGCCGAGTGATGGTTTAGTGAGGCTGGTGATGGCAGTGAGCGAGCGTTTGACGATCGGCATCTCCCTCGCTATAGCGATGGAAAAAATAGTTGTGCGCCTGACAGATATCACAACACATGTTAGCGTCCAGGAGCAAAGGAATCTTTTAAAAGCCTCTACTGGGATCGAGTTCCTCCGGCATCGTGTTGTGTAGCTTACCGTCGGTGGATGGTCGTCCAGAAACGTTGAAGCTGGTGTTCTGCAGCAACTCGTAGTCCTGCAAGGCACACTGAGTGTACGCCTCTCGTGTATTGTAGAAACAAACACTCGCAACGTAGACTCTACAATGATGAGTCTATCACGCACGGATATCCTGTATGCTTCAAAAGATTGAGGAAATGTGGATGGTGTCTGTACACTGGACGCCAACATCCCAGTCTTCTCCTGTAGGATCTGCCTGACATTGCCTTTGGTATATGCAGCGGGTCGAAATAGACCTGGTTTGGCTAGGTGGGTGCAGCAGGTTTGCACTGGCGCCTCGCCCAGTTCGAAGTTGTCTTGTAAGGCTGTGGAGTAACGACAGGGTTTGTGATCATCCCAGTTCATTTCAGTACATACACTCGCAACATTCACTTTGTCACACATGGTATCCCCAGCACACAACGCACTGCTGACGATATTGCACCACACTTGTCACAACCTACCAGCGCCACCGCTGTTGCAACTGGTTTGTCAATGTCAGTGACTAGCCTGACTGACTAGCTTCAAGACGGCGGCCTGATTCTCAATCCAGCCGAAAGGCAGGTTTTATTGAACCAGCCTCAGCAGCATGTTGACGATGCCCTAGTGACTTAGTGCCATGGAGCTGTATTGCCATCAGCGGCCATTGTTGTTAACATTAGTGCGGCCGTCAACAGCTGGCTCTCATGGGATTCTCAAGTGGAAAGCGTTGTTGCCAAGGCAGTTCAGAGGATTGGTGCATGGTGGCGGGCTAGCTTCCCGGCACCTATTCGTCCAGGCTGTGATGCTGTGTGACATGGTGTATTGCATAACACACCTTCTTTTCAGCACTGCGAGGTCGTCAGCTGGACCGACTGCAGCTGCTGCTGATCTGTGCCATCCGTGAAGGGAGAGCGTCGTATACACCGTTGCATACCCAGTGAAGCTTCTTGTGCCTGTCTGGCGCAGTCTTCACATTCGAGCTTGTGCCACTCTATGGGATCTGTTTGTGATACCGCAAGCCAGGAGAATTTGCCGCCAACAAGCCAGTGGCTTTCTCCGGGATGTAGTTTGGGAACCTGCAGGCCACCTGTTGCGAGTGCAGCAATCAAGAACCCTCTTTCCTGCTGACATCCGTGGACTTGATCAGTTCCATTGTTTCAAAACAAGTTGCTTACTGTTCTGTTGTACTCCTACAGTCCTAGTGTTCATACAAGGTCAGCCTACTACAGTTCTCTTTATGCACACCTCCATGTGTGTGTATGTACATGTATATGTGTGTCATTTGTGTATGTGTGTGTGTGCGTGCGCACGCGCGTGTGTGTGTGTGATTCACTGGCCAAAAACGCCCCTTCATAGCTGTGTGGCGTAGACCAGGCTGAATAGTGGCGGTAAATTCTTCAGCCTTGCAAGCTGTTGAATGGTGCAATCCCAGCACAAGTTGCTGTTGCTTCTGCTGTAGCATCGCTATCATCGCCTCTGGCGATGGGCATCAAATGGTGTGTGTTTGCGTGTGTGTGTGTGCACACGCGCGTGTATGCATGTGTGTACACATGCGCACATGCGTGTACACGGTTGTGGTTGTGTGAGCATATTACTGTGGGTATTTGCTTTCGGTGCAAATGTTCAAGTCTCTGCTTGTTTGTGTGCACACAGACTTGTTCGAAATCTGTTCATGCTAGTGTGTACATACATGCATATTGTGCTCGTCTGATGAGTGTTTTTGAACACAAAACTCGGATTCACGAGAAAGCTGTTGGTCTCTGTTCTGCCTTGTTTATACGATGTGTGTGTGTGTGTGTGTGTGTGTGTGTGTGTGTGTGTGTGTGTGTGTGTGTGTGTGTGTGTGTGTGTGTGTGTAAACGTGGACGTATGTGCGAGCAGTGTAGACAAGCGTAGAGTGTGCGGAACCAACTTTGGATAGTTTGATTGGGCCGTGCTCAGTCCAATCAGTGAACATATTTATCTCCAGTGACATGCTTTAGCGTCTAGCCTTTAGTAGGTAGCTGGCACTAGTCGCTATCGTTTGTTTGACATGTGCCACCAGACCCACTGTGGTGCTGTGCTGCGGATGTACATGTCAAACACAGGTATGGCTAGAGCGTCAAAGAATTCGGCCCTTTTGGCGCTTTGCTTAGATTTGACCAAATCCAGTACTGACGGTGTAAAAATGATGGAGCTACTTGCCGGGATACATCTCGTGCTTGTGCGAGTCTGTGTAGATCTACTAGTAACGTGTGTGCGTTTGCTTGGCATCTTGCTGTACACCTACAAGGTTGTGAGTCTGCTCCTGGTACAATGATTACAGTCAACTTCGCGTATAATGACACCCGGCGGGGCATCAGAAAAGTGTCCTTATTCGCGAAGTGTCGTTATCCCCGAAGTCTCATTATAATGTGTCAAAGTTGGATGGGACTTTACTCTGGGCATGAAAATTCTGTCGTTATTCGCGAATTGTCGTTATATCCGCAGTCGTTATTCGCGAAGTTGACTGTATGTACGTGTATATTTACATGTACATTACATGTACATGTACTCTGTCTCGGGACAGCATGCTGTGCACATTGTTATTGATTGTATGTGTACAATATTAATAATAGATCTGCATGTACAGTACAATGAAAAAACACAATGAGTATAAATGCAATGCAATACCGGTACCGGTACATGTGTCAATATCATTCTCTTATAGTACTACTGTATTGACTCTTATTGCCATCTAATACTAGTGTCGTAGTGATACATGTAGCAGTCAAAATTTGACTGGCAATAAGAGTCATGCAACTAACGTGTCACTTGCAAGAGACTCCTAGTCCTAGATCTGACAATCTGACACTGACCACGACTGACTAGAGCGAGTAGAGATAGCCTAGAGTAGAGGTCGACTGCCACTTGCCAGACCGGAATGAGTCCTATCCTCAGTGACCTCACTTCTCTACTCAGAATATCGCGTCAAGTCGGTGACTGGGACTGAGGCTGAGTCTGTCCTGCACTGCATGCTATGCCTGGCTCTACATCACTAATGCATAGCGCACTACTGACTGTGTAGGCAACGCGCCACCGCCTCTATCGACGCTCTTCACTTCGACTCTTGCTTGCATTTTTACGCGTGCTGCCGGTTTTCTGTAGATTGTGCTGATACGGAATTCATTATTTTGGGTCTGTTGTTGTTGCGAGCATCAAGTCATCTCTCAGCCCTATTCCATGCTCGTTCAGTCCCCGTACCCTTGTATCCCTACCTATGACGTTCTGTGCCGTCCATTTCTCAGTCTTGAAGAGCGAATCCTCGTGCCATTACGATAAACAGCCAAGCGTATCACAGTAAAGTATTCTTTGGGACTCTTTTGCTGGAGCACTGTGTAACTACTTGCCTGTGTAGGTGGCCATCTGTCCGTGACACCACTACCCTCACGGAATCAGTGTCTGTCTTATATTACCAGCTTGCTGATCTGGCGCACATGCAAGGCAACTGTGCGCTTTGTAGCGATTCCTTCTCGGAAGGAGCGTAGAAATACTTCAACTACGCACTGCCTTGTCGATCGTAACGGTTTGTCATGAAGGAATACAAGGTGGTGGTGCTGGGTGCTGGTGGAGTGGGAAAAAGTGCCCTGACCGTCCAGTTTGTCTCTGGACAATTCGTGGAGAGGTATGATCCAACCATTGAGGATTTCTATCGAAAAGAAATCGAAGTTGATCAGGTACCTTCAATCTTAGAGATCTTGGATACTGCTGGAACGGAGCAGTTTGCCAGTATGCGTGACCTGTACATCAAAAATGGCCAAGGTTTCGTACTAGTCTACTCAACAATCGATGACCACAGTTTCGTTACAGTTCAACCTATGCGTGAGCAAATCTTACGTGTCAAGAACTGTTTATCAGTTCCTTTAGTGCTTGTTGGCAACAAATGTGATATCCCAGACAGACGTGAGGTGGTTGCAGAACGTGGCCAACAACTAGCCACAGAATGGCAATGTCCATTCTTTGAGACATCAGCAAAGACCAAGGAGAACGTCAACGATGTATTCGCGGAAATTGTTCGTGAGATGAACTCGACTTATAAGCCAGCGAAGAAGGACAAGTCATGCTGTGTGCTACTATGAATGGAGGATTAGCAGTCGCCATAGTTTCCACGACAACTATGGTGGTATTGACAACGCATCGCTGGTGGTGGTGTTGGCGGTGCTGAAGCATGATGTATATCTGGATTATTGTGCTGGATTCGAACATCCTGTCAGCCTCAAACATCAGGTAATACATACATGTATGTTGCTTCATACATGTTTGTACTCGTACTATCTAGCTGTATGAGTGTGTGTTGGTCTGATATACGCTGATAGGACATTGATTTTGTATGCTTAACACACACATACACACACACACACATACATACCATACACACACACACACATACATACCATACACACACACACATACACACGCGTACACACACATGCGTACACACACGCACACAGTACCACAATAATGTGCACACACAGTGCTTGATAAATTACAGGCTGACAGTCAAGTGCACACTGGCTGCTGCTGCACCACTGTGTCTGCTAACTATTTCCCAATTCTGTCTCGGGTTAATTTTGAAATTTAAGTCCTGAGTTTTGCTCTTTAGCTTTGTAGAGTATACGTTTCCTACCTCGCATTAACGTTCCATTTGAACATTGTGTGAGCATTCAAACAGTGTGTGTGTGGGTGGGTGGTTGTATGTGGCTACTTTCAACCCAGTACAGTACATGTTAGAGAAACCTAGGCGCAAGTTTCTACTTGTTGCTAGCACACTATGACGTTAGGAACTTTGCTCAAGGTGTTGGACTTTGTATGAAGAGGCTGTTGCTAATACTGACTTGTTCTTTCTTGTGGTATTTCTAGAGTATTGAAGTATGGCTTTAGATTATTATTTGATCTGCTAACTGCAATGTAAATCTAGACCCCGTTTAAGACAGAAGTGTTCGTGAGTGATTTTATGTGTTTGTGCCGTGTAATACCATCTACAAGATGTGGTCACGGTATAGACAGCTCCTTGCATGTATGGGCATGATGAGGTAATGCCTTAGGTTTGTGTCTTTGTGACTACTTCGGCATCTCTTCCTGGTCACTACACATTTCTGCACACAAATATGTTTGAAAGCTTGTATCCTGGCTTAGGCTGAATTAGTTCTAATGAACGGAATTGTTTAGATGCTAGGCCGGTGCAGCGAAAGTGAGATTATTAGTTTTGTTCAGATTGCCTGTGCTGTTACAGTCCGAGATGGAAAGATTCAAAATGTTCTGCTACGCATCGGAGGAAAGGACGTGAGGAATCCCTTGATCACTCTTCACGTTCACGTACCGTGTACAAAACCTGTTCTACTCTGCGCACACAAAGAAATCATGTGGAATGTGTATTGGGACTTTCCCGTTCCACGCAGCTTTCTTCCTCAATGATCGTGACACAGATCTGTACTCATTATTTTTGTATGTGTCGCACCGTAGAGAACCTCGTGTCTGCGTAGAAATCTGGGGCCAAAACACGTGGAGCTGTAGACTCAAACGCAGACTCCTGTTCTTTATTTGATTCTCTACATTTCCGTGATGTGAAGCAGAATCTCTCTTCGTCAATTTATTACCATCGCCATATCACGATTGTTTATCTCAACGCCGCCTATCAGTTTCACTCCGGGCCAGTCGCAGTGTGAATAAGTACGTGCTCTTGTACCATCACCCAGTGCAAACCCTCTGTGACCCTGATGTGTTTATTGACTTTATTCGCGGTGATGTGTGCTTAGCTGTGGAAATGTGTACTGGTTGTAGAAATGTAGTAAATCTAGCACCCCGGTGGCCGAGGTTTAACCACAAATATACTACAGTGTGTCAGTCAGAGGTGCGAAAATCATGAAAAATCTACCACCAGCTCTAGAATCGCGCGAAAGCAAGCCCCTTCAAAATGTTCACGGCTCGCTGTGTTGCACTACCTGCCTTGGTTCTCCAGCCACCACCACTACTAGCACTTTCATTAATTTTGAGCTGTCAGGTGCCACTGTTCTGCTTGCATTTCTCCAGCAAGAATTAGATGAATGAATATTGTCTTTTCTTCTCCCACAGTCGCTAGAGGATATGTAGCGTCTCGTTTGGCTAGTTAGACAATTAGCTTTGTGCACGTTAGTCTTTCTGCAAGTCAGTTACCTGCTTTTAGCGATAGGACATGTTTCAGGAGAAACATTGTAGATATGGCTGGCTAGTCAGGTGGCCTCCAAAGCTCTCTTCGGTGTTGTGCAGCGCAAGCGGTGGGCATTTCAGCATGCAGCACTTGTAGGTTCAGTAGAGCGAGAGCACCGGAGAGTCTTGCTCTTTTCAACACCCTATGAACTTGGGTAAGACCTACAAACATGTTTGTTTTGTTTCGGATAAAAAAAATCCTTTTTAGTTTACTACCTTGTAATGAGTATGTGGAAGGGTGACTGAGACTAGTGCAGTAGCGTACCGTATTATCTCTAATTATAAGCACGGTCCTTTATTTTTTCAATGTACTTCCGCTCCGTGCTATTATTGGAGACGTTCCTTTATTGGAGACTGTTCCATTATTAATTTATTATTTCAACCTCATTTCAGAGGCTTGTTGCCATGCCAAATTCATGTCAGACACACACATTTCACGTTTTTTTCGCCGGTACAGATAATGACTTTACACAGTGTGCTTATAATGGAGACTGAGCACTTTATTTTTTGAATGCCGCCCCCAAGGTGTTCATTGTTGGAGAGGTGCTATTATTGGAGACTGTGCTTATATTAGAGATAATACGGTATCTCTCTAGGCCGGTTTCACTGGCCTTTCTATAGTATAGCCAGTGTAGGTGCAGCAGTAGTCGTGTCAGTTATTACATGTTCAGTTCTGAGCAGTGAAATTGGATTATTCCCGTAGCTATGCAGAAGACGTTACTTCAGTAACGTCTGGCGCTAGCCAGGGTCCACACAGCTTTAATTTGGTATTTGTGTGTTTGTTTGTTTGTTTGTTTGTGTCACGCCTGGCGCTATCCCGTATCTGTCCCGTACCGTACCATCAAACACAGCTGGCCACATACAGCTGGCCGCAATATTCAAATAGGGCTTTCAAACGCAAGATCATAACGTGAAGCAACTTGGAAGAATGGGTATGAATGCGAAGTGTATGGGGGAATGCATGTAGGGCGATAGTGCGGGTTCGAATCCCAGGATATACCTGAAAAAAAATAGGAGAATTGAAAAATTTATAACATCCCTATGCTTTTTTTGCCGTCATCAAGGCAGTAGACGGTGTCGTATTACCCTCGATCGCACCTGTCCCGTACCTATCCCGTACCGTACCATCAAAGGCGGCTGGCCACAATGCATATTCAAATAGGGCTTTCAAATGCAAGATCATAACGTGAAGCAACTTGGAAGAATTAGTATGTATGCGAAGTGTACCGGGGGATGCATGCAGGGCGCGCGATAGTGCGGGTTCGAATCCCAGGTTATGTCTTAAAAAAGGGATTTTTTTTAAAGAATTTATAACATCCCTATGCTTTTTTTGTCTAGGTCATCAAGACAAAAAAGCATAGCGTAGGGCCCTGAGCTTCCAAGCTCTCTCGTTCAGACGTTTCCCATTTTCAACTCCCCTTATGAACATGTCAGTGTGTTCTTTTTAAAAGGGGAAGTACAGCTTTAAGTAAAATGTCACCACTCGTAGTGTTCTGGATACTGAGTCGCATGTTGTTGGGCTTAGGAAATTGTGACAGTGCGTTCAACAAATATTCCAAATTGAATTTGTCCAACTCGATTGAAATGAGAATAGTGCGGCCTACTCCTCTACAGAGATTTGTGCAAAAAAAATAAGTGTCATTTCATTCTTATAGAAGCACGGACAAAGATAAAACTGTTAAGTAGTAGAGCCCACATGCTCTCTTCCATTGACACTGCAATAGTTCAACTCATTTCACAATATTACAACGTTTCGGCAAATTGCCTTCATCGTTACCTGATGTTGAACTATTGCAGTTTTAATGGAAGAGAGCGTGTGGGCTCTGCTACTTAACTGTTTATGAAACTGCAGGAAGCCTCCCCACTTTTACTTAAAGATAAAACTGTCAGACCATCCAGTATTGGATGCTGACTCAAATGATGTAGGTTTGAGAGGGCTGGGTTCCTACATCATTCATCCCTTGCTCTCCAATCAAACATGGCCCTATTTCACTATTATTTCACTATTGTTTTATGCATAACCGGCTGATCACATGCATCATTCACCAGTGCACCCGCAACTACTCGATTGTAGTGACATCATGCATACAACGCATGATCGGTCTCTTCCAAAAGGTTATAAAAAATCACTGATTCCACTGCTGGTGCATGATCGTCTTTCCTTTTACTAGCATTCGGCTTGTCTTATGTACCTTGCCACATCCATAAGTCTCTTCATCACTGATCTTTGCACTTCAGTAATTCTAATTTTAAAGGGGATGTATACCCTAAAAACAAATATTCACCAGTTGTCTTCGGGGTGCTGAGTCGAATGGTCTTGGTCCGAGGAAGCTGAGACACTCCCTTCCTCCTTTATTCCCAATCGAAATCGCGCACTTACACCGAAACTGGGTGACTGCGCCCTACTAGATGGCAATTTGTATGCGAAAAGTCACTAAAAACGCCGTTTCGTTCTTATAAAAGCACGGATGACCGCGATTGGTCCATATGTTGTAATCTTTTAGCCGCTGAGTCGACTGGTTTTGGTCCGAAAAGGCTACGATGCAGCCTGATTCGGCCCTTATTCCCAGCCGAACACGGCTGAGTAAGCGGTAACATGCTCATGCGTACACCAGTCGCCTGGGCACCGTGCCTGCAGGCTACATTTTTCACACCAAGGTTCAAAGGTTCAACTCCAGTGACAGGAAGGCGCCCAAACAGGCTGTAAATTGTAGCCTGAGGGCATAGAAATCCCTGTCTAGTAGGGCACAGTCACCCAGTTTCGGTGTAAGTGCGCGAGTTCGATTGAGAAAAAAGGAAGAAGGGAGCGTCTCAGCTTCCTCGGACCAAGACCATTCAACTCAGCACCCCGAAGACTATAACTGGTGAAAATTTGATTTTTAGGGTATACTTCCCCTTTAACTGCGACTGACTGCATTCTAACTAAAATGATTTGACATTGACTACATTCTAACGACAACGATTAACATTGACTTTTTTCAAACTCCAATGATAAGTTAATCCTAACGTCAGTCATACTATAATTGATGTGGTAGGGAAGTATTAGACTTGCTTGCTACTAGTAGAAACTAGGATAACCATGCACCATCCACACACATCCACCTTGTCATTTGGTTATCTTACCTTACACCACTCTCACTGAGCATTTCACTGCCATTGTCATTTCACAGCTACTACTAGTACACACCACTTTGTGACGGTCGTGACAGTACACCCTTATCTCCAAGATTAAAAATTCGAGAATGTTTTCAATCATGTGCATGTGCCATGGCTTGGATAATGTCAGATACTTACATTATCTGTAGAAAAGAAAAAAGTACCAAGGAACTGCAGGTTACGCTATAATGTCCACTAGCATTATAGCGTTACTTGTAGTTCCTTGGTTCTTTTTCTTTTCTATAAATGTATCCTTGGCTCTCCGTCCGAGGACTTACATTATCAGATACGCCTGAGTGCAGAGCTTTATACATATAAAGAGAAGGGAAACTGAATTTTATTGCTGGTCACTGAATCTCTATATTGCCGGGCACAGACTTTCTGTATCGCCCGACACAGAGGTACTTTATTGCTGGGCACAGGTTTTCACATAGAAGTGATCATCACACACTACAGCATAATATATTCTTCATTAGCATAGAGGTCAAAGCAGATGTTGAAATTTTTCTGCTACTGAAAACATGTACTGTCATCCTATTTGGGCAATTTGTCAATCCCCGTCCCTGGTAGCAGATAAAGACTCGCAGTCTCATACTACTATGGTATACACCGTATTTTCCGGAGCATAAGCTGCACCCAGATTTGTTTTCACAAAGTACTGACATCTACGCTATATATCCCCATCCATTTGCCCATGGTAGTATGAGCTGCACTGACTTTGTCTTGTGGGTGAATTGCTACAAGTGTGTAATTAAGGTACGGCGTATACTCCGGAGAATACAGTACGTGGAAGGACATTCTCAATACATATAGAGGATACTGCTGGAATTGTTTTCTCTTGACTGTGTGTATGTGTATATGTGTGTGTGTGGTGTATGGATGGGTGGTGTGTGCGTATGTGCACGTGTGTACGTATCTGTGTATGTGTGTACATGTTTGTGTGTCTGCTTCCTACAACTTGCTGTCGCGGATGAGGAAAATTCAGCGTTGACAACATGGTCACTTTGGATGTGACCATGTGCGCTGGCCCTCGCTTGCCTGGGCGCAGAGGAGTTGCATAGTTCCATTTCGAGCTTGGCTCACAGCATATGTCTTTGGGAAGAGAGTCAAGTAGACACAGCTGCACCTCCTGTCACTCCGAAAGAGCAAAACAAGCAACAGTGAAAGAGCCTGTTCGTGTCCCACCGGAGCTGCAGTAACTCATGCTACGTCCCGAAGCCAGCACTCCGTTCAAGTCGCCCCATTTGGTGACACATGGCCAGTTGTGGTGGTGGGCGAAGGAAGGAAGGTATGTGTGTGTATTTGTGTGTGTGTGTGTGTGGGGGGGGGGGGGTGTTTAGTTGTCATGACGTTATGAACCAGATTTCACAATAGTATTCCAGGGTGCGACAGAGCTCTGGGCCATTGAAGGAAAAGTTGAGTCACCTCTACCATTACACTGTGCTCTTTAGCCGACTAGACCCTCCTGTACACAACCATCACCACTGCGAGGACACTTCCGTAGACGATATTGATAATTCCTTCAGACAGCTGTTTCGCTAATACATAGCTCATCAGTGAAGGTAGATGTTGAATGATTAGAAATATAGACCAAACTGCTATTATAGGGTTTTCCACATACAAAACTGACATAGCTGATGTGATAACGCTACTGCCGTACTGTGTCAGTATTCAGGGTGTATGACTTGTACTTTTTATTTACTTTTTACTTAGTCCACTATGCTCCCGAATGAATGCGGGAAGTGGTGGCGGGGCCCTGCTGCTCAGCCGACCTTGGTGGTCTCGGGCGCCTGCACAGACAAAGCGCGTCAAGATTAGCCCTCTCGGTGCCGATGACGAGATAACTCATCATGAAACAAACCAACATGGCTCGTCATGAAACAACCAACCTAGCTACCGAACTCGTCACGCACCCGTTAAGAGGCCTCATTGGGAAGCTGTTGAACTTAGCTTTTAAGTTACGTGTTATGCAATATACTAACATTATATAGCATAGATTGAAATACGTAAGCGTTAGAGCTGGAAGTGCAGGATCCAGGTAAAGTTGAAATCTGAAGTGTGTGATTGTGACACACTTCGTGCGTCACAAAGGAGAAATATCGCCTAGAATCAAAATTTCAGTACTCGTTGTCTTCAGGGTGCCGAGTCGAATGGTCTTGGTCTGAGGAAGCTGAGATGCTCTCTTCCTCCTTTATTCCCAATCGAACTCGCGCGCTTTCTCTGGAAACTGGGTGACTGCGCCCTACTAGATGGGGAATTGTATGCAAAATGTCACTTTCGTTCTTATAAAAGCACGGATGAACTTTGGAATAGCTACGTCGAGATGGTCGATCGGATCGGACGTCATTATCGCCATGACAATTCCTCTGAAAAACTCTAAAATGATTGAAACCGTTCTATTGGAACACTTCAACTACACTCTTTCAAGAATTTGTTCGAATGGTTGATGAAGACGATTCGAACGCGCCCCATATGGGGAGTTATATGCAAAATACTAAAAGCGCCATATCGTTCCTATAAAAGCACGGATGAACGAGATTGTCCCATATGTTGTTGTCTTTTAGGCACGAAGTCGACTGGTTTTGGTGCAGCCCTTATTCTCAATCGAACACTGTTGAGTAAACGGTCACAAACTGATGCGTACACCAGTCACCTGGTCACGGTGCCTGCAGGCTACAACTTACAGTCTGTTAGCGTGCGTTCCTGTCACTCGAGTTGAGCATTGGTGTGTAAGTTGTAGCCTGCGGGAACTGTGACCAGGCGGCGACTTTTGTACGCATGAGCACAGTGACCATGCACTCAACCGTGTTCGATTGGGAATAGGGGTCGAACGCTGCATTGCAGCCTTCTCAGACCAACACCAGTTGACTCAGCATCCAAAAGACTACAGCATGTGGGCGAATCTCGTTCATCCATGCTTTTATAAGAACGAAATGGCGCTTTTAGTATTTTGCGTATAATTCCCCATATAGGGCACGTTCGAATTGTCTTCATCAACTATTCGAACAAATTCTTGAAAGAGTGTAGTTGAAGTGTCCCAATAGGAAAGGTTTCTATCATTTTAGAGTTTTTCAGTGGAAATGTCATGGCGATAATGATGTCCGATCCGATCGACCATCTCGACATAGCTATTTCCAACTCTCTGGAACTAATCCACCTCTCCCATCGGAAGAAGTTGTCGAGTTTCGAGGAGTTTCGAGGAGACTTTCGTTTTCTGAAGAGGCCAACAGGCCACCTCTTCAGAAGAAACAAAACTCCTCGAAAAGTCAAAGAGTGACAATTCGACAGTGCCCTGGGAACTTGTATGCAAGATGTCACTAAAAGTGCCATTTCGTTCTTATAAAAGCACGGATGACCGCGATTGGCCCATATGTTGTAGTCTTTTGGACGCTGAGTAGACTGGTTTTGGTCCGAAAAGTCTGCGATGCAGCGTTCGGCCCTTATTCACAATCCAACACGGTTGAGTAAGCGGTCGTATGCTCATGCGTACACCAGTCACCTGGTCACCGTGCCCGCAGGCTACAACTTACAGCCTGTTTGGGCGCGTTCCTGTCACTCGAGTTGAACCTTTGAGCCTTTGAGTTGAACCTTGGTGTAAAAGTTAAAGCCTGCAGGCACGGTGACCAGGCGGCGACTGGTGTTCGCACGAGCGCTTGATCGCTTACTCAACTGTGTTCGGTTGGGAATATGGGCCAAACGCTGCATCGCCGCTTTTGCGGACCAAAACCAACCGACTCAGAGTCCAGAAGACTGCAACATGTGGGCCAATCGCGGTCATCCGTGCTTTTATAAGAATAAAATGGCACTTTTAGTGACATTTTGCATAGAAATCCCCATCTAGTAGGGCGCAGTCACCCAGTTTCGACGGAAGTGGCGAGTTAGATTGGGAATAAAGGAGGAAGGGAGCGTCTCAGCTTCCTCGGACCAAGGCCATTCGACTCTGCACCCTGAAGACTACGAATAAAAGTTAGATTCTAGACCAATACTTCACCATTTAAAAGTGTACAAAGTGTCTTTGGGTATAATTGCAGTACCAGTGCGCAATGGAGCGACTTTCCATTAGTTCTCTCCTGCGCCTACAGAGCACTGAACACAGTGGATTGAGGAGATAGCTTTCCAGGGAGCCCACGATGATGAAAACCCGTTGCTGTTAATATCATCATCAGCATAGCAGCATTGATACTGTGGCACACATGCATAAATGCCTTAGCACATTTTATATGTCCAGGTATGGCCTCCATTCAGTCTTCATGCAATACACACCAAATTAGCTTGCCGATATTCAGCTGGTCTGAATTGCAAAATATCTGTCAATGGCATGCATAGCAAGGCATGCATAGCAAGGCCGTCTCACCAAGGTTGTAGAACAGGACTAGCAGAAAGCTTAACATGGCACCCGTACATGGCACCCGTACATGGGATCGTAGTATCATCCATACTGGAATGAAGTTGGTTGCTCCAACGAGGAGCACACGCTTCTTGCCGAACTTGACACTTGACTGACTCACGACTGCCATCCGGAGCACACCAGGAGCACGTCGCACCTTCCGCTCGGCAAACCTGAAAGAAAGTGTATTGAGCAGGGAGTGGTGCTTTCTTTCAGGTTTGCCGAGCGGAAGGTGCGACGTGCTCCTGGTGTGCTCCGGATGGCAGTCGTGAGTCAGTCAAGTGTCAAGTTCGGCAAGAAGCGTGTGCTCCTCGTTGGAGCAACCAACTTCATGACATTACCGCCGAAGTCGCAACTTCTAAATCCATACTGGAAGAAGAATATTTGACTTTATTATTATTTGAAACTCGGGTATTGAGCCAATAATAAAAGTAGAAAGGAAAAGGACATATGGAAACGAGTTAAGAGTAACTCTCCACCACTGTAACTAGATACTATATACAGTCAGAAAGTGCAACAACTAGGCACAAAACTGACAGAGTACTGAGACATTCGACGTCCTGACACCTAGCTTCAACACATTTCCGTAGCGCTAACCGACAGCCTTCCAACTTGGAAGGTTCAAGGTTATAGAAAGACCAAAGAGGGGAAGGCAAGCGCAACGAAAATGAGCGCAAGCTACAGTCCCAACGGAACAAAGAATGTCGATTGTCTCTGGACGATGACGAGACCAGTAGGCGATTTGACAAAGCGGTCTAAATACAATTCGAAGCAGCAAAGCAGCACACCACCCAACTTGGTCTTTCTATAACCTTGAACCTTCCAAGTTGGAAGGCTGTCGGTTAGCGCTACGGAAATGTGTTGAAGCTAGGTGTCAGGACGTCGAATGTCTCAGTACTCTGTCAGTTTTGTGCCTAGTTGTTGCACTTTCTGACTGTATATAGTATCTAGTTACAGTGGTGGAGAGTTACTCTTAACTCGTTTCCATATGTACTTTTCCTTTCTCTTTATTATTATTATTATTATTATTATTATTATTATTATTAAAAGGCGACGAGGAGACAATAACTTTATTAATGCGATTAATAGTATAAGTGAAGCGGACATTACAAAATGATGAATGAGAATACATGTATCTAAAATGGTTGTTCCTAATCGATTTTCTTGAGACTATCATCAGGGAAAATCGTCTCACAATAGAGGCTATACGGAGAAACAAACTACTTATAGGTTAATGGATAGTGGGAAGTATACAAGGTGAGGTGTGAAAAAAAACTAAAGTGGGAGAGAAGACGAAAGAAATTAGAAGAAAAGATGTGAGAGTGTTCTGACGGTGTGAGCTACTACAAAAGGTGAGTGAAATGAAGGCGTGGAAACAGGTGAATGTGATAGAGTGAGGAACTGTGAGGTGTAGGTGTATGCGAATGAATACGTGTGTGAATGCTAGGTGAAGAGTCTCAGTTTTGTGACATTTTCTTTCTGAATGCATAGATTAGGATTGTGTTTACGGATGAAAACAGCTTCTAATACCTTAAGTTCACGAAACCTACGAGCACGACACAAAACAGTGAAGCATGAATCATCATACACTGAGCGGCATTGGCTACTAGACAAGAGGTGTTTCTTAATGGCTGACCCTTTCGTTGTGGTCTCACCTTCAGTCCGGTCATCTTCATCTTGGTTGTCCAACTCACTCTCTTCATCACTGCTCTCACCTTCCTCATCCTCCTCCGCTTCCATCCCGTCCTCTGCATCCAACGACAATCCCACGCTACTGCTCGCTGCCAGTCCATGTCCGGTTGTAGATGCTATTACCCGCGTACGAGTCATGCTCCTAGTTATTGGTCTCCGTACCTGTGTTTGGCAATTTCCTTCAGTCTCACGTACCTGTGTACTTGTAGTCCGTTCAACCGGTACTGTGTGGTTCTGTTGTAATTGTGCAACTGGCACCTGTTTACGGGGACGGCCTCGTCCAGGTCGCTGGGCTTTGGCTCCATCTGACAATAGGTACAATGGTACATGTTGTTTGACGCGTGCGTTCAGGTGCTGAAGGGTTCTTCCTACATATCGGCTATCACAATGCCGACATTCAAAATGATAGATCACATGGCTAATCAGTTGGGTAGGAAGAACATCCTTCTTCACCGTGAACGCACGGGCCGTAGTAAAGACTGTTGTCAATGCTGTGGCAAAATAGGTTTGTCTGACAACAGTCCTCACGGCGCGGGCCATATCCAGCGAAATTTGACCTTTCCATGGAAGTCGTAAAAACACACGACATGGGTCAGGTCCAAACTCAGGCTCGGCAACCTGAATATCAGGTTCGTTAAACAGCTTACTGAGGAGCTGAACAGGATATCCATTCTGAACGAACTTACATTCCTCACACAATGTTTAGAGTATGGTGTTTGCCCTCAGTCTATACAAAACCGCGTTCACAAGGCAAAAGCTTATCATTCACTCAAGCTGGAACGTGTTTTTATCAAAGACGATATTAGCCGTAGTAAGGACACTCTTAGCAAAGTCAAATCCCAGTTCAGACATCTATACGCTCTGGCTCGTTCCTTTCTCTCGCCGTTGGACTTCTTGCGTTTCTCGAACCTTCTGTCTCAGAACGACGCTAACCAACAAGTTCACCTGATTACAAAATATCGTAAGAATTTGAACTGGCTTCGTAAGAAACGGTTCGGCTCCTTCACCATTGACCATAGCACCATCATCAACATCGCCAATGTAGAACTTAGCAACATAGAGAAAGATCTCTTGTGTAGGGGCATTGATTACGGAGTTCCTCCTACTTCGCTGAAACCTGAAGTGACTTTAATGGAATTTGAACTACTTTACAATAAATTATCTGAATTCAGACCTTGTTCGGATACTCAAAAGTCACTTTGTGCTGCCAAGCTGAGATCGATAGCTGAAGAGCATGCCACACAACAACCAGACCGTAAATCTTTCTCTTTGTCTCGAGAGCACTTGAAAGCCCTCCGAGATCTCAGAGCACGGAAGGACATTATTATCACGAGACCGGACAAAGGTAGAGCCACTGTTATAATCACTAAAGAACAATACCACACGAAGATGGCTACTATCCTTGATGATCGGTTGAAGTTTGTTAAGTTAGGCCCTGTACAGATACACGACCGTACAATAGCTATAGAATCTGATATCATCAAGTACTTGCGGAAGCTGCGGAATGCAGAGGAAATATCTAAATATGAGTACTTACGAATTAAACCGATTGGTTCAACACGGCCCAGACTTTATGGATTGCCGAAAATCCATAAGAAGGATTGTCCTCTTCGCCCAATACTTTCAATGTGTGGTTCACCTCAATATACAGTTTCGAAATGGTTGTGCGATATTATTACACCAGTAGCTAAGTACTATTGCAAACACAATGTAAAAGACACTTTCCAATTCATCGATATCCTGCGTGAGCAGCCAGTACCGTCTTCTTCCCACATGTGCTCCTTCGACGTTGTAAGCTTGTTCACCAATGTGCCCGTGGTGGAGACAATTGACATTTGCGCTAATGCTCTGTACCATGATAAAGAGTACAGTAAACAGTTCGATTCTCCCTGGATGTCCGAAACTGCGTTCCGCAGACTAATGCAGATGATGACAACTGATGTTGAATTCTCTTTTGATGACACCATGTACCGCCAAATTGACGGGGTGGCCATGGGTTCACCATTGGGTCCAGTTCTGGCCAATGTGTTTGTCGGGTTTTATGAATCGAAGATTCCAAGTGCGATGTGGCCTAGCTTATATGTTAGATTCGTGGATGATTCGTTCACGCATTTCCGTAATCTGGAACAATCGAATGAGTTTCTTGGTATGCTCAACAACCTACATCCCGCTCTGAAATTTACATGTGAACATGAGCAGTCAAACCGTTTGTCTTTTCTCGATGTGTTAGTCGAGAAAACGGAGATGGGTGTTTCAACTTCAGTATATCGAAAACCAACGTTCACCGGGCAATACATTGTCTACGACTCCTATTGCTCGACTTTATACAAAACGAATCTCGTACGAAATTTGATCATGCGCGCTAGGCGGATTTGCTCGCCTGATAAGCTTCAGCAAGAGCTTTGTTTCCTGAAGAAGGTATTCGTTCAGAATGGATATCCTGTTCAGCTCCTCAGTAAGCTGTTTAACGAACCTGATATTCAGGTTGCCGAGCCTGAGTTTGGACCTGACCCATGTCGTGTGTTTTTACGACTTCCATGGAAAGGTCAAATTTCGCTGGATGTGGCCCGCGCCGTGAGGACTGTTGTCAGACAAACCTATTTTGCCACAGCATTGACAACAGTCTTTACTACGGCCCGTGCGTTCACGGTGAAGAAGGATGTTCTTCCTACCCAACTGATTAGCCATGTGATCTATCATTTTGAATGTCGGCATTGTGATAGCCGATATGTAGGAAGAACCCTTCAGCACCTGAACGCACGCGTCAAACAACATGTACCATTGTACCTATTGTCAGATGGAGCCAAAGCCCAGCGACCTGGACGAGGCCGTCCCCGTAAACAGGTGCCAGTTGCACAATTACAACAGAACCACACAGTACCGGTTGAACGGACTACAAGTACACAGGTACGTGAGACTGAAGGAAATTGCCAAACACAGGTACGGAGACCAATAACTAGGAGCATGACTCGTACGCGGGTAATAGCATCTACAACCGGACATGGACTGGCAGCGAGCAGTAGCGTGGGATTGTCGTTGGATGCAGAGGACGGGATGGAAGCGGAGGAGGATGAGGAAGGTGAGAGCAGTGATGAAGAGAGTGAGTTGGACAACCAAGATGAAGATGACCGGACTGAAGGTGAGACCACAACGAAAGGGTCAGCCATTAAGAAACACCTCTTGTCTAGTAGCCAATGCCGCTCAGTGTATGATGATTCATGCTTCACTGTTTTGTGTCGTGCTCGTAGGTTTCGTGAACTTAAGGTATTAGAAGCTGTTTTCATCCGTAAACACAATCCTAATCTATGCATTCAGAAAGAAAATGTCACAAAACTGAGACTCTTCACCTAGCATTCACACACGTATTCATTCGCATACACCTACACCTCACAGTTCCTCACTCTATCACATTCACCTGTTTCCACGCCTTCATTTCACTCACCTTTTGTAGTAGCTCACACCGTCAGAACACTCTCACATCTTTTCTTCTAATTTCTTTCGTCTTCTCTCCCACTTTAGTTTTTTTTCACACCTCACCTTGTATACTTCCCACTATCCATTAACCTATAAGTAGTTTGTTTCTCCGTATAGCCTCTATTGTGAGACGATTTTCCCTGATGATAGTCTCAAGAAAATCGATTAGGAACAACCATTTTAGATACATGTATTCTCATTCATCATTTTGTAATGTCCGCTTCACTTATACTATTAATCGCATTAATTATTATTATTATTCTCGTGTCCGTTCCCAAGGGGAACTTACGACAATGGAGTGAAAAAACATAAACAAAAATAAAAACATGGTGATGTGGAGATAATAGTGTTGCATACATTGAGTACAAAATAATACAGATACAGTCAGTGCTTCGGATGCCTGTACTGCCTGTAGACCCTGATAATTATAGTAGTGAGCACAAGCACCGTCTACACACGTAAGACAGTCCATATGTTCATGTGATGGCTGAGCAGATGTTGCCCCATCTCGTTCGATCGGCCGCAAAGTCCCGGAGCGTGTCTAGGTGTCGATTCGTCTTCAGTGCAACTGCAGTTAGCTTGCAGTCTCGCTGAAGGGTGGTTACCAGGCAGGACCGAGGTGCTCCCTTCCTGTGTTTAGTTGTTTCCTCTGCAGTTAGGTATGCCATCATTACTTGGTTCCCTGGTGTGCCGATTGGTTGGCGTAGAATGTGCCCGAGTAACCGCCATCTAGCTCACTTCGCAATTCCAGATATTGGCTCGGTGTTGGTGAGCTTATACAGATCGTTGTTTGTGATGATTTTCGGATAAAGGATGCCAAGCATGTGACGAAGCTGCTTTCGATGGCTCTTGTCAAGGGAGTCTTCCAGTGCCTTTGACAAGCCTGCGCAGCCAATGTTGTACGTAAGAATCGGGAGGACGTATGCGTTGTACAGCCTCATCATGGTGTTGTTAGGTGCTGTCGCCGGAGCCAAATCTCTTTCATGCGCCCAAATGCCGCTGCGGAAAGGCTAATTCGCCGTGCTACATCATAGCATGATCCATGCAAGGAGCCAAGTGTCTTTACCGTTCTCCAAGGCTCCTGTCCACGAATACCGGACTGGTGTGTTACTGCGGACTGTGCCGTTGGTTCTAGGTATATTCTGATCCATTCTGTTTTTACGTTAACTTTTAAATCCCATGTGTTGAAGGTGCTCTCCGCAAGCAACAGAAGCTGGTCAAGATAGGCTTTGGACGTTGAAATAAAGTCTACGTCATCAGCATAAGCTGTTTCTGCCGGTAGGTGTTCATCTGCAGCTGGTCTCGGTGGCAGGACTGAACGAAGGTCACGCAGAGCGGCTTCAAGGTAAACTGTAAATAGGACCGGCGAAAGGTCATCTCCTTGAGCAATGCCTTTCGTAGTGGGAAAGGCAGATGATTTTGCTAGTTCCACCCTGACCTCAAGAGTGGTGTTTGACATGAGGTACCGAATGATGCGTAGCTCATCATCAGTTGAAATCTGTTCGCTGCTCAGCACACTCAGTAGCTTGTTTCTGTTCACAGTGTCAAATGCTTTACTGAAATCAAGGCCAAGAACATGAATTTCAGTGTCAAATCTTTCCACAAGAGACGAAAGTTTTTATTTGACTTTGAGTCGTATTTAATAATAATATTATTATATCATGCAGAGAAAGAAAAGGAATGGACAGTAGTAGATGTAGGCTAGAAGCAATAGTCAAAAAATGCAACTGTTCACTCCTTGTAAAAACGCCAATGTAACTGCTTTACTCCTTGTAAAAATGCCATCACTCAATGATCAATGTGTCCTACTGAGTCTTGCTAGAACCGTATCATCTTTTTAATTGGTTCTCAGCATAGTGGGCAAAGTTCTTCCACTTCAAGCAGTGTCTGATACCCTCTGTCTCATGGTCATTGCTATATGATGTGCAAATCAGTATACAAGATATGGAACATTGGTCTGCCAGTAGTTACATGATCTCGAACTTGTATAACACGTTTGTCAAGAATTTTTATATTGAGCGCTTACATCCTGTTTCCGAGTCAGTGGAGGGATTGCGCATCGACGACAAAAATAAGGCTATGAAAATCCGTCCGTGAGCTTCCGCGACTGGGAATTGCTGAGTTTTACTGAGTACACTAAATGGGTCTTGGCAGTGGTACATGTGTATACAATGTGTGTACACCAGTGCACAGGTGCTATACATCACTGTGTTGCAGTGCATGATCATGATCATTGCGGAAGTACTTAGAAGCTGAGCTCTATTTCAGTCGACTGGCAGCGGCAGTTCGTATACTTTCGCTCCTACAAACGTGTCTATACAGTGAGACCTGGTTAGGAAGAACCGACTGATAAGACAAATGTTTGCTTAAGAAGAACACTGATAAGGCAAATGTTTGCTTAAGAAGAACACTGATAAGGCAAATGTTTGCTTAAGAAGAACACTGATAAGACAAATGTTTGCTTAAGAAGAACACTGATAAGACAAATGTTTGCTTAAGAAGAACACTGATAAGACAAATGTTGACTTAAGAAGAACACTGATAAGACAAATGTTTGCTTAAGAAGAACTAGTATTCGTAACTCCATTGGATAACTCACTGTGTATTCACTGGGTATAACATACGGATAAGAAGAACTCCCGTTATTGCGAACAAATATCATCGGTCCCTTGGTGCTCGTCCTAAAGAGGTTTGACTGTACTCAAGTCTCTTACTCGTATCTGTGCCCAAATGTTACGGTTTTTGTTGTTGTAGGCCACCTCTCTACATTGTAGTGTTGGTTTGTTTAGTTTTTTTGTGCTAAGATTTTGTTTTCTGTACTCTACTTTCTTCACTTTGTAGATTTTTCTCAACTCTCCCACCAGATCAGCATACTAGGCAAGCAACAGCGATGGTCGTACTATTAGCCACACCGGCAAACAGCCACCGTACCGGGACCAGCGGCAAACAGCCACCGTACCGGGACCAGCGGCAAACAGCCACCGTACCGGGACCAGCGGCAAACAGCCACCGTACCGGGACCAGCGGCAAACAGCAGTACAGCGCACGTGCATAACCTCTTTACCGTATTATATTGCCTGCTTCAAATTCTGGCACAAATGTTACTCCGTCTCAATACATGTGTTCAATTTCATTGTACAAGAAGCAGCTCAATCAGCTATCTTGTATTACATGTATTCAACGCCAATAGCTTAGTTGTACTTCGAAGTATGATGACATTGTCTGAAGAGTTGAATATTTATTGTCAACTACTTGCAAGCTAAATTTGTATCCTCTTCACTTCATTTTCTTTACACATCTCTGCTTCTTATCATCTGCTTTACTCCGTGGCTTCCTGTGTTCCTCTCGTATAATAATTTCTTTGCATCTTTTTTACTTCACCGCGCTTCCGATACTCTTCTGACTTCCGACATCTTTCCTCTTCCCCTTTTCTTAGCTTCATCTTATCCTGATGTTCTTTTTATAGGGCAAGTATATTTTCAGCATTTTTCATATCTTCATCATTTTCGCTTTTATCCATCTCTCCTTCCTTTTTCTCGCTTCATTCTCATCACTAGGATACCTCTCACGACCTTCTCACTACACACCACACATCACATCACATACTTTTACAAAATAAATATTGCCTACCCAAGCATACTATTATAAGATGTGTGAGCTGGATAATTATTTTATGGGGCAGTAATTTTTGGCTGGTTTTCGATGAAAACCCGGTTACCATGGCAATAAAATCCGTAAATTTGGTTGTTCCCATGGAAATAATTGGATTTTCGGTTTGTTTCCATGACAACGGGAGTTTTGCTGTCTTGACCTGTGTTTTACCCCTTTTTGGCTTGAGTTGCCATGACAACTGGGGAATTTACACAATGTTGCCATGACAACTGGCCGATTTTCGCCAAAATCCTACGTTTTTGGGGTGAAAACGTCGTATTTCAGGCTTTTCACACTTTCTTCATGAAAGAAGTTCTCATGTTGGTACTTTCGTTCTACATGTATGCAATAAGTAGTTTCTAGTACAAGCACTGGAACTAACTTGTACACTGTATGTAGATGGGTGCTGTGTTTAGATATACAAAAGTCATGTACATGTACATGGCATCTGTGTAGAATGTGCACGTGATGACTCAAGTTATACCTACTTCAAGTACTTCAGTACAATATAGGTTATATTCACCTCCACCAATACCTATGATCCTGTGATCTATAACTGATAATGGTGTTTAGATCCACATATCCACAACTTGGGGAATATTCTGCTAGAAGTTGTCACTTTTCGACTTTTAACAGACTTGGAAAATCTCTCTGATTGAAAGAGGAAAAAATTGAAGAGAACAAAGAATGCTCAGCAGGATTTGAACCTGCAACCACACAATTCCGACACGCCTATTTTGTCCACCGATCCACCAGGGCTCTGATGCTCAACAGAGTCGAAAAGTATAATCTTGAATCCGCTTTAACAAAATTAATGAATTGCGCGTACCACGTATCTCAGTATTCTATAGTATATGGGATACTGAAATAGCTGTTATCGACGAAAATATCAGGCCAAAGAGGGAACCCAGTATAATAGGGGATTCACACACACACGGGTAAAACCACGGCTATGGGAAAGTTGTTATGGAAACTATGGTACTGGGGGAAAGGAAGAACCTCTCCGGGAAAAAATTGGCAAAGCCGTGGCCGTGAGCCTCAGGGCGATTGTCAACGCAAAAAATCCCATGGCTGTGCGACGCACATGTGTAGATCTTGTCTTTGGCGAGAACTCAGAACCCGTAGTTGTACGGGTGCATCGCAACCAGCCTGCATTTTCAGACAGCGCCCATCGGAAAATCGTGCATGGCGAATGCAAAATATAGCACAGAATGTACAACAAGAATGCAGTACAGATTATTTTTAATTGCCCTGCCACAAATGCATGGCCGGCCAAACATGTGGCCAAGGGAAAACTGACCACGGGTGTGTGGTCCGTGGGCCGAAGGTCTAAACTTTACCTTGTCCCGCGACCTCAGGTTTCCCCGTGAGTGTGAATCCCCTATTAAGTAGAATAAACACCCGAGTCGTGTTTTTATGGGAAATTTCCGACAGTCTATGAACCCTGCTATGCCTCAGTTTTAACTTGAGGTATTGCACATCATAATGTCATTGATAGCATGCTGCAATAAAACCACTCACACAGAGGAAATAGAAATATGATAACAAAGCAAGGGTCACACACCTACAATATACACAGCCACTCAGGAAGGCACATAAACAGACGGACAAACAGACACCACACACACACACACGCGCACACACACACACACACACACACACACACACACATGCACGCACACACACACACACACACACACCATTTGACGCCCATCGCCGGAGGCGATGATAGCGATGCTACAGCAGGAGCCATAGCAGCTTGTGCTGGGATTGCACCATTCAACAGCTTGCAAGGCTGAAGAATTGACCGCCCTATTCAGCCTGGTCTACACCACACAGCTATGAAGTGGCTTTTTTCTGGCCAGTGAATCCCTACTTTTTGGTCTTTTTCATTTGTTTTTTGCCGCACACACATCACACCGCATACTCCGGCATGCACTGGCTGTTGGTAACCACCCAGGAGAATGAAAGAAAAGTCACACACACACACACACACACACACACACACACACACACACACACACACACACACACACACACACACACACTACAAACACACCATGTACCATGTATACACCCGTCACAAGAGAAGCAGTAAATGCACTGGGTGTGCACCCACAGATTTTCTCTTATAGCAACGATAGCGGACAAGATCAGAATGAGACAGATCAAGACTAGCGCCAGATAACTGTCCAATCCACACAACTTGCGACGCCATGTGAACACACAAACACACCCATACACATACACACACACACACACACACACACACACACACGCATACTTGTACATGCACTTGCGCATATCCATACACACAGGGTACACAGCCAGAGGCACATGTAGGTCCACACTGATATAGCTCTCCGATATCAGTGAATACGTTCACAATCAATCACAACAAGATTACTATAATAGGTGTAATCGAAAGTCAAGTATTAGTTGCCAAACGCAGCTGGGCATATCGAGTCACTGGGCTGTGCCAGGGTCGTAGAGTGTAGGTGGCCGTACCGTATAATCATATCTGTCTTTCTGGTGGGTTACTACATGGGCATTTTCGGTCACAAGCAATTTGGAAGGCAGACAGTAATGACGACGTGAGCGTCTGCACATACTCGGGGTGTGATGTTGGCTGCTGTGCTCACAGGTGATCATGGAGAAGGTCAACTGGTGTGGTAGCTTCTTGTCCATACTTTAGGCGGAACGGGAGGGGGGGGGGTGGTGACTGAGTTCTGGCTGGTTCTGTAGTCAAACAATACTCGTTGTAGATGGAGATTCCAGTTCACATGTTCTTCGTCACATCACCACAGCATACTCTCCAATGTAGGCTTTCGATGAGACCAGATTGCTAGCAGTACGACGTTGTACGAGTCGTGTGTATGTGCAGGGGTTTGCAACGATGTTGGAAGACATGTGATTCGAACTGTGGCCCTTGGTCAGAGTGAATGGCTAGAGGGGCACCATGGCGGCAGATGAATCCGTCAACGATGACATTGTAGGTAGCAGCTGTTGTAGCGAGAAAGTCGGGCAGAGCATAAACGTCATACCAGAATTATGGTAAAGTAAGTGCCAACGACAAGAATGTATCAGTTACCTCTGGCAGCTACGGGAAGTGGACCCAAGATGTCAATACCCTTGACTCGTTGACTAAGCGGAGCACGCTGCCCATGTAGAGGAGCTTGATGTTGTTGCTGACACTGAGTGCACGTCTTGACCCAGTCAGTGATATCGGTAGTCATGTGTGGCCAGTAGTGCCGGTGACGTGCAAGAGCCAGCGTGCGAGACACATCAAGATGTCCGGAAACTGCCAAATCATGGATAGAGTGGAGTGCTTCATCACGGAGAGATGCGCGTAGAACAAGCTGTAGAGTGATGGTGTTATGAAGCAGGCCGTTGTGCACAAGTAGGTAATTAGACTGAGTCCATAGGCGAATAGTAGGAGAACTGATATATTGAATGCGAGCATCGCCTCTAGCCCGGACTTATTCGTGGAAATGCAGAGGAGGAGTGGGCTTATGCCTAGTTGCCACAACGATGCCTTTTCGGCAAATCTCGGAGACGGCTGTGTGTCGAGGACACAGAGCAGCAGCACAGTGTCGGCAAACAACGTTGCAACAGCGGCAGTAGCAACGACTACATCAACGTCATACTCAGCATCCATACAGGTGAGATCAGACTTGACAACCGTGGTGCAATTACTATTGGAGAATGTGGGGATGTCAGTTAGGCGGCCTGACATAACCATTCTGTGAGAATAGAGGGATTGTACAGGAAGCGGTGAGGCAAACTGAATTGGTGGCACTGGGGGAGTACTTGCTGACAGGAAGTGTGGATGTGGCAGAGACGGAGACGTCGCCTATCGTCAGAGTTGAGGCGGATGCATTCACATGTGCAGTGAGGAAGTCGAGTCCCCAGTACTACAACGGGCTGGTCGTTGGCAATGAGGACAGAGTGGCAGGTGGCAGGGACATGACGAATTGAGAGCTGGAGATCACACAGACAGGGGCGTAGCCAGGATAGTGATCAAGGGGGGTGCCGCGACTTTCCCACACAAAAGTAAAAAAAGTCATGCACTTATGTTGGTCCTTTTAAGTTTCATGCACATTATTCCATCCATGAAATGGGGGGGGGGGGGGGGGGAGCAAAATTCGCCCCTAATTTGACGCTGAAAATCAATCAGTGAATGACAAATCTCCAACCAGGGAGTAGTAATTTTTATGATATTTTACTACTCCCTGCTTCCAACTAATGATGGACAAAGTCCTGGATGCTGCTTTCTCCAGAATTATCACACTCTTCATCGAACTTTTAATTTTAAAGTGGGATTTCTCGAGCCATTTTTCCCCTTCGTCATGTTTGATAGTGCAGTAAGGCATCCTTGATCAAACGTACGCTAAGTTATTCCCCACAAAAACTCAAACTGCTCTTTAACCTTACTTTCACACTTCTGCTGCTGTACCCACACTTGCAACACTTGAAAGAAACTGTGCCTTTCCACAACCTCCATCAAGACCAATTAACAGCCAGAATTACATTATACAAAACATAGCGAGAGTAAACTGCTATGTCTGACGCGTGCTTTCCGGCCATAGACCGCGTTGCTACTTCCTTGCTTCTACCAATGGCGTGTTTTGTATGATTCCTTGCTTCTAACAAAACATGTGGAGTGCGATGCAAATCATGCGCTGAGCCTGCTGAGGCCTGATGTGACACTGCACAACATGTTAACAGCAGGCACGAAGCGGAGTTCCCTTGACTAGAAATTATTTCATTGCAAAATGGCCAATCATGAGACAAAATTAATCGTCAGTGTGGACTGGTTTCAGATACATAGTACTTGCAGGTCTGAACCAGAGAGTAGCACCTACTAGTACCTACTACTCCCTGGTCTGAACAGGGATGGCAGTACATTGTGCGCGCGATGTGCAGAGTGGCACGCATGTGATCAGCGGTCTGCGTATACTATATTATGGTCTCTCTCTCTCTCTCTCTCTCTCTCTCTCTCTCTCTCTCTCTCTCTCTCTCTCTCTCTCGAACCAGCTGTGAAACAAGATCGAAATTTTTGAGGGGGGTGCTTTGGCACCCAAAGCACCCCCCCCCCCCTGCCTACGCCCCTGACAGACCTAGTACGTTGATAGGCGATCCACTAACAGAGATCATGACGTTGAGGGTTGACCATTCTAACGCAGGTGTTGCTGATAGTTCTTTCCACAGATTGGAAATGATAACCGGTTGTGGCAGACTCAGTGTCCACGAGTGTGTGAGCAGACACATAGTCTGCAATAGTACAGGTGCAGTAAAACCTGGTTTAAGCGACCACCCCAAGGTGCAAGCAAAAGCGGTCATTAAAGCCAGGTGGTCTTTAGAACCAGGTCCCACAGTGTCTGTGTAGAACTGTCGGTGCATTGAAAAACGTCTTTAAGAGCAGGTGGTCGCGACCCGGAGGTCGCTTACACCCGGTTTTACTGTACATACAGAGGAGGGGCAGCACGAACATCAGAAGCAACGACCGGTGCTGGAAACAGAGAATTGGGGTCGAGTTTTGCACTGGCAATAGCAAGCTCAGTGGGAAGAGTGAAAATGGGACACGCAGAGAGGGGGAGGAAATAGACATCCGCCATCCAGAGAAGATAGGCGGTGCACACAATTGCAGTGCAGGCATATAGTTACTCCATGTATGAACAATGAACATGCTCACTAACACCAAGAGTCCACGGGTCAGTAGTCACTGCTAAGCCTGGACTCATTTGGGCAGCGGGCGGCTGTTTCCCGTGCTCTGGCGCATGGGTGTGCGGCATTCACGTTGTGCATGGCCTAGCTTACCGCAGTACTAGCAGGTGGTGCCACGAGTGGAGGAACTTGTCCTTGAAGCTGCCAGAGTGGGTGCTGGTCCATCCAATTGGACCTCTGAACGATCCAAGCGGTGCGGAAGTTTGGCCAGCAGCTGTGACGGTGTCGGATGGCTGGCCGTACTGGTTGTGGTGAAGGCCGGGACAAGAGCTGGTGCAGATGACGAGGCAGCCTCTGCTTGGTTGATGGCATCGGGATGGAGCGCGACCTGCAGCGTAACCATAACAATACCAGGTGTAAACAATAGAATAAATGGTTTGCATTGGAGTCAATCAGTCAGACTGATAGTTTCCTGGCTGATCTGCAGGAACAGCACCAGCGTCAAGGATCCAGCCGGGCAGCCATGCAAGCAGCTCCTAATGACGTGATAAGACCTGATCCACCACAAGGAGGTCAAAGATCGACATTACCGAACAGTACTGTAGCCATGGCAACCATCAGGTCATGATGGATTTCTCACATTCATACCAATACATACTGTCACAGATCAAAAACATATCCCCCCCCCCACTCAACATTGAACATACCCCCTCCCCCCCCCCCCCCACTCAACATTGAACATACTGTATAGCAGGAAATTTTCGGACGGAATATATTTTCGTACGATTTCGTGCACGGCCTTTTTGTACTAAAATTAATTCCGTACTAAAATTTGTTCCTGTGACTTTATGTACACTGTACATGGGTACTGCTTGCGAACACGTGCATTTAGCATGCAGCACTGTACGAAAATAAAATCCGTACGAAAGGTCGAAATTCGGCTTTGTCCGAAAATTTCCTGCTATACAGTACCCCCCCCCCCCCCACATTCAACATTGAACATACCCCCCCCCCCCCACTCAACATTGAACATACCCCCCCCCCCCCCACACACCCAACATAGACCCGGGATCAAGAGTACATGAACCCCAGAGTGTGCAGCTAGGATGCGTTGCTGTCACGGCGAAATTCCGTGACTACATCATTTTTAGTGTTGTAGTGCGTACAAGCAGGATTCAAAGCAGGTCTTTCTGCACAACTGCAGCTCAGCTGTACGCACTACGCCGCTTCCTGCCTCAGATCTGAGCCAAATATGACGTAATCACGGAATTCCGCCGTGACTGACACCCATAGTAGAAAATGCCCCAAGCTGCACACTCTGGTTTTCCTGTAATCTTTCCGGGATGAATCATATTATGATGTTGAGTGAGATGGGAAGAAAGTATCCTACGTACACCACACCCAACAATAGGAAAAAAATGCTTCGGCCTAGGTCATGGATAATTGTAATTCTACTTTTATAGATATCGTGACAGGGCATCTTACTTGATTCTTGCAGCTAAGCATGGATCACCATGACCGAAATAGCTACGAATATCAGATTTAGCAACTCAACACTCTGAACTACAAGTGCTCTGAACCTGAATACAATCAGACCTCGTTTATCCGGTCCTCCTTTATCCACACCCCTCGCCATGGGGAAGAAAATCGTTGGTTACCGATTTACAGCATATGTCATGCATACATACAGCACGTGTGTTCGATTATCCGGTTCCCTCGCCTATCCGGATATTTTTGTGGAAAACGGATGTGTGCGGCTAAGCGAGGTCTGACTGTACTCCCAGGCCTGACGGAAACACTACAGTTGAGTCGCATGCTGAAGGCGGAGCCCAAGAGTGTCCAGCCTGAAACGCTAAGAAGCCCATGGCAGCTTTGGGGATACCTGTGATCCAGTACGAATTGTTTCTAAGAATGTTCTATAACAACACAGCCAGATTTCTGTAAAGTAAGAACCTCCTAGGCTAACCCCTTGGAAACAGCGTGATTGGACACGCGACTCTACTGTATGAGCTTGTCTCTGCTCCTGAACGCTTGGCAGTACTGAACACTGTCTCCCTGGGCCCTATAACAACGCACATATCGCTGAGAATCCTCGCCATTTAGCCAGCCACAGCCTGGCCAGTTTCTGCGTGTGTGCTTGTAACCGCTAAAAATGGTATCAACTATCAATGAGCTGACTGTATAAGATCTGGTTACGTTGGTCGACAGTTAGTCATAACTCGCAACATTTTGTCCTTCTCCTTTGTAACTATCAACGAAGCAATGTAAGTGTACCGTTACCCATTGCTCACGCACTCTTGACAGCGCTTTGTCATCACATCTTACTTTCGCTCTACCCATGCTACGGAACATGCTTATTATACTCAAATGCCTCAGTCTCCGATCCTAACACCTTGGTACCGGGCACTGTCCGTATCTCAGACTTGCCCGTAACTCAAGACATCTCATTTACCTCGTATCATCAATTGTGCAATGGCCGGGCGGATTCCCCAGCCGGTTTGTGGCCATGAAATGCAGGCAATAACTACACCCCTCCAGACCACTCGTGTAAAATTGCTTACTTTCAGGGTTATGAACTCTTGATAAAATTGAAACTCACTTGTCATACCAGATGATGGTAACCGAACTGAAGGTAGTCCTGTTGGTGCTGGTCCTGGTGGTGATGATGGTGCTTCTTTCGTGTGGTGCTGGTGGCGGTGCTGGTGGTGGTGGTGATGGTGGCGGCGGTGATGGTGGTGGTGATGATGATGACAAGTGGTGGTAGCAGTGGCACTGCTGCTTCTCTTACTAGTCCATCCATGGATAGGCTTGCGCTTCAGCATTCCTCTCTCCATTCCTCCTATATCAACTCGCCATGAGGACACCAGCCTTTGTCCACATCATCGCACGATGTACGTGTGTGCATAATCGGCTACTGCAAGCAACACCGAGTATGACGCATTCCTAAGCTCTTTCCGCATATCACTGACTGTGGCTGGATTGCCAGCAAAGTCTACAGGCAGAGCAATGGAACAGAACGATACGGGCTCTCAGAACTTACGCCAGCACAAACATATCAACATCACATCTTCACGTCTTCAACCAAGACACAGTGCACGGTAGTCTAATCAGGCGTACAAACACGGCAACTGATTTTCACCAGTTGTAGTCTTCGGGGTGCTGAGTCAAATGGTCTTGGTCCAAGAAAGCTCAGACGCTCCCTTCCTCCTTTATTCCAAATCGAACTCCCCATTTCCACCGAAACTAGGTGACTGTGCCCTCTAGATGGGGATTTGTATGCAAAATGCGACTAAAAGCGCCCTTTCTCGTTCTTATAAAAGCACGGATGACCGCGATTGACCCATGCCGTATGTTGTAGTCTTTTGGTGGATGCTGAGTTGACTGGTTTTGGTCCGAAAAGACTGCGGTGCCGCGTTTGGCCTTTATTCCAAATCGAGCACGGTTGAGTAAGCGGTCGTGTGCTCATGCGTACACCCGTCACCTGGTCACCGTGCCTGCAGGCTACAACTTACAGCCTGTTTGGGCGCGTTCCTGTCACTCGAGTTGAACCTTTTTGAACCTTGGTGTAAAAGTTGAAGCCTGCAGGCACGGTGACCACGCGACTGGTGTACGCATGGGCACGTGACCGTTTACTCAACCGTGTTTGGTTGGGAATAAGGACCGAACGCTGCATCGCAGCCTTTTCGGACCAAAACCAGTCGACTCAGCATCCACCAAAAGACTACAACATATGGGCCAATCACGGTCATCCGTGCTTTTATAAGAACGAGAAATGGCGCTTTTAGCCACATTTTGCATACAAATCCCCATCTAGTAGGGCGCAGTCACCCAGTTTCGGTGGAAGTGGCGACTTCGATTGGGAGTAAAGGAGGACAGGAGTGTCTCAGCTTCCTCGGACCAAGACCATTCAAATTTACTCAGCACCCCGAAGACAACTGGTGAAAATTTGACTTTAGGGTATACTTCCCCTTTAACGTTATCTAATAACTTCTGTTGCCGTACCTGCTACTGGCATTGCTGGTCATGGCGCTGCTGTGATGTGCAGGGATGCAGTCCCTTGCTCGAAGAAGATTCGTGAACATCATGTCCCACCTACACCTAGTAATAACGATAAGCGGCGGGTCATGATGTATTTGCACATGCACATAGCTGCCCGATGATCTTGAAATCTTGAAACTGCATTTCTCGGGTTCTAGTATCGCTATTGTATTGCTGTATTGCTTTTATTTTACATCGCAAGTCAAACGGGTAATCATGCCCGATGTTATGATGATGATGATGATGGAAAGGGAGGAAAGATTAAGAACAAGATTAGTTATCCTGCATTATGCATTATGGGGAGTGAAGAAAACAGTGAGTCTATCACGCACCATCATGCAAAATACTGCATGGGGTAGCCGCTCTTATCTTACTTGGGTGTTTCCTGCAGGCCATTGCTATCATAGTTCCTTTGCTACCAGCAACTGGAAGTGTGTTGACAATTTTCTGCAATAACGTCAACGTAAATGCCTCAACACTGTAGGTTCCTAGTGCGTCCTGGAACAGCCGCTAGCAACTCAGGCATATTAGCGAACCCAACTCATGAACATCCAACGTTGGCTTGGGCTGAACAAAACTACAGCCTAGGAACCAAAAAACAGGGCTGTGCTGGTACGAGTGTTTCAAGAAGAAAGATTTTTACAAGCGGAACTAACAGTTATCAACTAAATTTTACTTGCTTTTTATATGATTGACAGCTAGCACATGCACAGGCATAAAAGTACTTTTTATGCTGGCAAAAAGGCGTGTGATCTGACCGACTGCACTGGCTTGGTATTACCACTTGATTACTGTCAGTACAGGACTATTATGCACATCCCACACTTGCTAGAGCTAATAGTGTCAGTGTCGTGATAATAATACATGACTGTACTGATACTGTGATAGACACAATGTGTCTATGTCATAATTATGCTTGAAGCAGACATACAATCATGTACATGTACACGCAAATGCGTGCACACACGTACTACGTCATACTGTACACTGATGAAGAGAGCGTGTTACCAAGACTGCAAGAGATTGCCTTGGTGTTACTGTTAGTACAGTACTAATGCCCCCCCCCCCCATACACTCGATCGTATGCATACAACCCCCCTCCCCCACACAAGCATGAGCACTCTGCCACTGTCAAGGGTATGTGTATAGTGTGACACTATACACATACCCTTGACCAGTATAGAATACCAATGCACTCTGTCCGTAGCAGCACAATGTGGATCTACCCGTATCTGCTATCCACAATACTACCACCACCAGCAGCAGGGGCAGCAGCAGCACGGTGCCACAGGATAATGATGACAATCTACACAGACTGAACACACTACAATCAACCAAACAAGCCATTAATCAGAAGTTCACCAATGTAAACAACTCAACACTGATTTCAATTTCAACAAACAGTGAGGAGAGGTAATTTACTGCCTGATCGTGACACTTAAACTGATTTCAGTCAATAAAAAAATTCGGGGAGTTGAATAAGTTAATAAATTTTGCGGATAGAGATCAATAATATCAGAGCACACTGGTCATGTAAAATTAATGTCAAGTGCGATGGCAGTAGTATAACCAAAGGATGGGTGGTCAACGACGGCGGTGTGAATATCGCAAGTAAGCGTGTGTTCACCCACTGCACATCTGTGCTTCTCTCGCCATTGCCGGAAAATCAAACAAAACAAAAAAGACCCTGCTTGCCATCAAAGAGTACGTAATTGCTAGGGGGTGCAGACATGCAAAGTGAGCAAGCGTAGTATGATGCGCTCACTACACCCTGGCTGTGCACAGCATACCAAACCGTAGCCCAGCAATATGTTCTAGATTCTAGCGGGAACTGCACCACAGCACATTTCATGATATCAATCAAGGGCCAAAACGACACGTCCTAATGATTGACAAAAAAAAGCGTCTGGAGTCCTTGCTGCAAATAGTGCTCACTACCCTAACAAGGGCAGAGCGTACTACACAAGGCAGAACAGCAGAGACCAAAGAGCTTTCTCGTTATTACTCCGAGTTTCGTGTTCAAAAAACTCATCAGACGACCGACTGAGATATTGTGCAAATCCTGCTCAAGACCACGGAAACTGGCCACAGAACACTGATAAAACTAGTAGCATGAAACCTCCATGCTAAATCCAATGTACAATAGCCAATTCAGATTTTGGGTTAAAAAAGGGAGCAACCGTTTACGTCCATTAGAGCACCTTCTTGCCACTCCCTAGGCAGAGGAATGTTACACCGCCAAGAGCGGAAATGACAGACGCCAGGTAAAACACAGCATTCCAGTCGTTATAGGTATGCAGGATGTGACCAGCAATGTACACTGCCATCATACCTACAACTCCAACAGACAACACATACGAGATTGCAAAAAAAAATTCAATATAAACCGACTTCAAACCTGCTAGAATCAATATTGTTAGAATGTTGTTTGCCTGATGATCGCGTAGCGTGAAACTGGGAGTCACAACAAAACCTCGTTCTAACTTATTTGTAAGGTAGCTTTGCCCCTTGCCGTATGAGCACTGTGGAAAGTCTACGTATACTGTTCATATACATAGTCAGTATGCATGTGCACACACACACACACACACACACACACACACACACACACACACACACACACACACACACACACCACACACACACACCACACACACACACACCAGGGGTGTAGCTGGTCCCCCTTTGGAGGGGGGGGGGGGGATGTGACCGGCCACGCATGACTGGTGCATGGTCATTACGTGTATGCTGAACCCACAGTCGTCACCAAAAAAATCCGGCCAAAGCTGATAGCATGGGCACAAGTGGTATGGCACGCGTTCTCCGGCGGTGCTTCATGGTGCCATGCATGCTTTTACTGTACCAGCATAGCACTGAACAGTCTGCAGTCGAGCACTGTACTGAGTGTATGCAAGCAGGCCCGGCAGCAGCAGGGCATAGTCTAGTCATTGCGTGTGCCGGTAGTGGCTAACTTTAGTAATGGTAGTGCATGCAGCCCATGATGTACATAGCATCGGCGGGATTGTTTTGGCGGCGACTGTAGGTCGACATTTTTAGGGGGGGGGGCACAGAGGACTCCTCCGCGGGCGGCAGAGTCCAACGACTATGCGCTTGGTGGGATATTCTGCGACAGAAAGGACCGGCGTATAGGTATTCAGCCAATGCTGATAAATCAATCCTGGTTGTGAAGGCCAGTCACCTGAGGGAAGCTGAGGACGCCTTTGCAGGGATCGGTCTGCAAATTACCACCGACGGCCACCGGTTTCTAGGTGCTGCACTTGGATCAACGGACTTCGTCTAGAACTATGTATCCCTGAAGGCAAGCGAATGGAAAGATGAGATTGTGTCCTTGGCCGAGATTGCTGAATCCCAGCCACAGGCTGCCTATGCAGCATTCACGCAAGGCCTAAAGCATCGCTGGTCCTTCCTTTGCCGGGTCATGGAGTGTGCTGCTGCAAATCTTGCCCCCTGCAAGACGCCATCACCAATGTCCTCATTCCTGCCCTGTGCGGTAAGCCGGTAAACCCACGTGAGAGAAGGGTACTTGCCTTCCAAAGCCGTGAAGGAGGCATTGGCTTGTAGTCGACCGCACCAACTTGGGCGACCAGTTCCAGGCATCGGCAGAGATAACCTTGGCGCTCGTCTGCAAGATTCTGCACCAGGGCACTCAGATTGGCAATGTGCTGGACCTGGCACGGTCCACTAAGACGGAGGTGGCAAGTCGTACCCGCAGATCAACGGCCCAAACAGCCAAAGAGTTCATCCTGACACAAACGCTGATATCCAGTTTTGTGTCGGTCTGGCAGCGGAGAAGGGTGCGTCGGCTTGGCTGACATGTTGACCCCAGAAGGTCCATGGCTTTGCCCTTTCGAAGGGTGAGTTCCGGGATGGCTTTGCGCTCCGCTATGGCTGGCAACCAGCCCACATTCCGTCGAGCTGCCCATGTGGTGCATTGTTCACCGTCGCCCACGCCTTGTCGTGCTCTTTGGGTGGGTTTCCCTCACTGAGGCACAACGAGGCACGGGATGTAACGGCTGGTCTCCTCCAACGGGTCACCAACAACAGCACCATTGAACCCCACCTGGAGCCGGTAACTGGGGAAGTATTCCGCTACCGCTCTACCATAACGGACCCCCAGGCTAGGCTGGATATAGCAGCGAATGGTGTCAGGGGTGGGCGTTTTGACCGCACTTTTTTCGACGTACGGGTATTTAACCCTTCAGCAGCTTCAAATCGCTCCACCTCAGTACCCTCCTGCTACCAGCGCCACGAACGGGAGAAATGCCGCTGCTATGAGGAGCGTGTTCGAGAGATCGAACATGCAACCTTTTCACCTCTCGTTCTCTCCTCAACAGGTGGCATGGACAAGTCTGCAACAACCTGCGTTAAGCGGATTGCCGGGCTCCTGTCCGACACGACGAAGGAGCCGTACAGCAGAGTAACGGCGTGGATTCGCTGCCGACTTAGCTTTGCTCTGGTTCGCTCCAGCATGGTTTGTTTGCGTGGTGCTCGGCGATGCCCCATGGCCATGCGGGTCAGTGATGTGGCAGATGCCTCTGCTACCTTGGCCGTTGCCGAGGCCCGCTGCTCCCTATAACTGACTGCAAATGGTGCCTAAACCAGTTCATATTCCTCATTTTTGCTTCTTTTCCCTCTAGTTTTCTTTTGTATTATTATTTCACGGAGAAGGTGGAGAGCCCGAACATGCACATTTATATTTATATTTTTTATTTTCACAGATCTCCGGAGAAGGCGGAGAACCCGAACGTGCCAGTTTATAAAAAAATGAAAATACAGGACTTCTGCATAGGAAAGTACGAGGTGATGCAACATTTGTTTATTATGTAACAAATGGAGTAAATTATGCATTCCTCGGGTCTGTCGAGGCTAACCTGAAGTTTCTTTCTTGCCCGTCTGGAGTTACCCTACCGAGGCTTCAGCTGACAAAATACTGGCATCGTGGAAGGTCGGCAAGGTATATTGAAGCTAGCCCAATTCGTAGGAATCGGATGAAATTGGTAAATTATGTGAATGTTGACGTCCCCGGGTCAGTCATCAATTGTGTATGCCCCTAAAATCGATGAAGCAATGTTACAAAGTGGTCAGCCTCTAAGTTGCGAAGTCATGGTGGTGATACATAGTTGGGAAATGTCTCTAGTATCCGGTATATCCATTCGATTATCAGCAGTATTCAACAGTGACTATAGTCGAGGAGCAGATGACCAATAACTCCCATTGTTCTCTCTTTTCGTTGCTGTTGGTCACCTTGGCATTCTCACATGCCACTCTGGTTTCGATAGAACGTGTCACTATGATATTATTATACTTCCTCGGAGGGCGATTGCAGTGAGACGAATTTTGAATAGATTACCAGAAAAGTTCAATATTCGTATCACCTAGACGAGATGTGGTCGATTCAAATGCCGTTTGATGTTGCAACACTCAGAGAACTGGTGCCTGTACCTTGCCAAAGCGCTTTTACAGGTCTGTGAATGATATTCCCGGGTGTAGACCGTTACTTTACTCAATGTTACATAATAGTACACCTACTTTCACGGCCTCAAAACACCCTTGTTGCAGGATGACATTTTGTACCTTTAGAGACGGCCGGCCAGGCCAGATTTTTGGTGAGGGCACCATGGGGGGCCAAACTTCAACTTCATAGCAACAGTTGACACATTATGGTGCCAGAAAGTAGAGAAAAATAGAAAATTTACTACCACGTTTATACATACATGTACATGTAGTTGCGGATCACCTCGTACTGATCCCTGACATTATTTTTGGCTGCTTTTTCGGACCGGTTTTTGGGAGAGCCTTCAAAAATCGGACACTGTCCGAAAAATTGGACGGTTTGGCAGCACTGGATAAGGCATGGCACGCTGCCCACATGATGCAACCACAAACTGGGCATCAGCGTGCATAACTCATTACCTTCCAGCTGGAAAATTAGGATTTTCTCAGAGATTCCAGACTGTTTGTTGGCGATGTTTGGCAATTGCCTTTGAATCTGAATCTCCCGTATCACGTGTGAAACTGTATGAAATCGTGTGACAAACCCATCTCAAACCCAGTCAGCTCGATGGTCATGTCCCTAAGTAATGAATGCAGTGCTTCGCACAGGGCACGCATAGACGGGAGATCAGAGTTGCATGCTCTTGGAATTATGGATTCTTGACAATATTCCACGGTAAGTATCATACTACACTGTATTGGGTATTGGCACATAGGTCTTACCTTCCAAAGCACCAAGCATGTTCATGACACCTGAGAAATAAAGCACAGAAATGGCAGAAAGGCGAATCAAGACCAGAATGGCAAACTGTTCCATGATGGTTTCGGAACAATTGGCACAGGTGTTTTAACATCGGTGCCAATTGTTCCGAAACCGAATCTCTAACTCTTTGAAATGAATTAGAGATTTGGCCAGGTTTTACGCCTTTCCTATGATTTAGAAATTTCCCAGGAAATCAGTCCTGAATTTGGAGAAGCGCCCACGATTTGACTGTGTCTATTTTGCTGACTAGCAAAACTCCTGGACCACGACCCTATACAGAGCCAGGTTAATGTGTGTCAGTCCTGAGTTGTCCAGGCGATGTTAATGCAAGTACTGTCGTGGACATGGAAATCCAGTCGATTGACCGGGCCGGCGCCCTCAGCGCGTACAGAATGTTGCAGGCAGTGCATGTTATGTTGATCTGATGCGACCAGCGCGCTGCAGTGCATACATGATTGTGTGCTTGTACCACTTACTCACGGCTGCATGGCCAGCGCCCTGGGGCCGCTAGACGTGCGACCGGATTTCCATGTCCACAACAGCAGCATGTTGGCATTCAGTCCCCTGCATGCAGTTTGCTGAAGTTTACAACACGGAAACACTGTGAGCAGTGTGAGTGAACACAGCAGGCAGTGATAACCTGTAGCCATTTCCTGAGTACACACACAACCAATCGTTCTACCTAAATTAGGCTACAGACTCTTTGCTGATAAAGTTTTAGTATGCACGATTAGAAACTTGATGCACGGCCCGCAAAACTGTTGGATATTACTTCGAAGTATGAGATGAGCTGTTACGCTATGTGTGAGTAAAGGAGACTGTGGAACCACAGCAACTGCATATGACATGTCGTTGGGCCATATCAAACCGGCATCAGCAGAAACACTCATGACACACAGAAAAGGTAACTCCAAATGCTGGCGTAGCAAAAGTCCTCACGTTCGAATGAACAGAAAGGACAACATGTTTCGGTGCTTTCTTCCAGGTATGCCGAGTTGAAGTTTGATGGACTTCTCGTGTGCCCGGCATAGCATTCGTGAGTCAGCCAAGTGTCAAACCAAGTCGGCATAAAAAGTGCCAGCTTTTTCAAGGGAGCAACACACAATAACGTACTTGTACAGGGTACAGTGAATATGCAAAGTGAGAAGCATGCCTTACCAAATACAGAACCAGCACAATTGGGAGCAACGTCAGATGGGTTTGCAATAGTACCAGCCGAAGAGGCACCATGACACATTGCCACAAACGACACACAGCAAAGTGCAGCAGCAAAGCTTGAACTACAGTATGGCAAGATATACAGTCCCACAGCTGGTCCAAGCAGTGATATACCCTAAAAAAAACGCAATAACATCAACGACAACAATAACAACACCGACAACGACAACGGCAACAACAACAACAACAGCAGCAGCAACAAGGAAGGAGAAGAAGTAGTTAGTTTCGAGACAGGTAAAAGAAACATCTGAAGACAAAAAAAGGACTGCCGCATACTCAATTACAAGTCGCACCCCCTTCTTCAGGTTTGAGCCATGTTGTTTGATATATTCACTTCAGTAGTACAGGTGGAATCCTGATAATTCGAACCCCAAAATGCCAAGGAAAAACTTCTAATTATCCGGACATTCTAATTATCCAAGCATGTACCCACAACACATTATGTATGTCAAAATGCTCGCATTGACACGCAGAGTTGCTCTGCGCACCTTAGACACATATTTAGTGGACACTGAACTGCCTGCGCATGCAAACTAAACTGATTTGCAGAAAATACAGTGAACTTCTAATTACGCTTTGCTAACTTCGAATTATCAGCACAAATCCCACACATATTCTATGTAAGAGGATTCCGTGGGACTTCTTATTTTAACCGGACATCCCCCTTTCGAGGTTCGCATTATCAGAAATAGCTATGTGGGAATCGTATTGATGGAAATCGGAAAGCAGTAGCAGCAATGGCAATGGCAGCAGTAGCAGCAATGACAATGGCAGCAGCGACAACGGCAGCAACAACAACGGCAGCAGCGACAACGGCAGCAGCAGCAATAATGGCACCAGGCGCACCAGTGACTGTAGCTACACAATCTTTCCACTTACCACAAATATTTTTCTGACGGCAGTCAAGTTGGAACCAGTAGAAAGCCACTGGTTGCAGAAATAGCCACTTCCTATGCTTGATGCAGCATTGAACAGCCATGGCAAGGTATTGTACAGCCAGCTCTGTGAGAGCACATCACAGCACAACACAGTGTACACAAAGTTATGTTCTGCACAATTCCAGATTGCACAGATGGCCTGTACAATCTATGCAATCATAGCCTGATCAAGAAAAGAAAGACTGAAAGCATGTCTCAAATGTCCTCCCAGGGAATAAACTAGTTGTGTCTGGTTTTCTCCGTCTCCCATGAGGCATTTGTCCCCCATGAAGTGGTTGCCCCCCCCCCCCCCCCCCACCCCTGAGGTGCTTGCGTGGTTGAGACTTCTGCATATAGCTGGCCCCTGAAAATTGGCCTGCTAGGAGAACATGATCGAAATGTCCCCGGGCAAAAAATTGGAGTTGAATACAATCACAAAACATGAGCTAATGGGTGATCGGAATGAGGATACATGGTTGGCCTTCGAGCACCCAGGTCTACTTTGCCATTTCTGAGCCAACTTGTTCAAAATGTTCCTGATAACAAACTTCTTGGGTGTTGATGTGAAAGAAGATCACAGACATCAACAATTTACCTGAGAGCCAGGAAAGGTTTCATGGAAGTACGTCGGTAGCCAGTTGATGAGAATATTGAAGAAGAACAGGCCAGAGAGATGTGCCACAAATATAGCCCTGGAAAAACACGCCACACCAATAAATACTTCAGCCCTGGAAATACACCATACACAAAAAAAACCTGATAGCCCGGGAACATACCATACACAAACAAACGAATGCCACATATAAACACGTCAAAGCAATGAACCGCAGCTAGTCAATGAGATCAGGTACAGTCAACATCGCTAATAACGACTACGGATATAACAACAATTCGCGAATAACGACAGAATTTCCATGCCCAGAGCAAAGTCCCATCTAACTGTAATACATATAAGGCCACACCAAGTTAATTCTATGTTTTGCGTCGGATATTTTCTGGAAAAGGCACACAGGCGGGCGGAAAAAAGAAAAAACAGAAGAAAAAAGCAAAACTCCATTCTACATGTATGTGTACTGAGCCATGTTGCACACAGAATAGACACACTTAGCAAACAACGGTAACGCTATTTTTTACGGTACTCGTACCTTGATCACCCGAATAGCGTTGAAGCTGCAGCGTAGAAATGTTATGGGGCTGATTTATCGTTGTGACCAACGGTACGTTTTTGGCCAAATATTGCATAGTCCATACTCATTTCACTTTGTATCGCGTATATGGTGACATAAATGGTTGTACCACGCTAAGTAAAAGCTATTCTCGTGGCAACAGCGTACTAAAAATAGCGTGCATCTTGCTAAAGGTCGAGCCCAAATCACGGTAGTTTCCCCTTTACGGTAATACTGCTACAACATAACGTTGTTTGCTAAGGGTGTCTAATACCACTACTAAACTGTCACTTCTATCCAAAACGACAAGTCGTCACAGGACAGCTGGCAGACTGGGCTGGAGCGATACAGAGATTTCATGGATGGCTCCTTCTGCATTTTGACATGAGTCGAGTGGGATCCCGCTCCATCACAATCGTGGAAAATCTCGAAGTCCTTGACACCTGGAATCTCTGCTCGCTTGGTGAGCAGGCCGGCCCTAGGCCTACCGCACGGCTTGGAAAAATAGAATTTTTATCTCTCGTACCTTCTACGTACCATCGCCTGGAATGCAAGATTATCGAGAAGCTGATACCCTCTGATCTGCCATACTGGCTAGAGAATGTTCGCCAGAACAGCCATCGACTGGCTCGCCTAGGTTTTTTTTTTCTTGTCAAGGATTCGAAAAGGTACGCGGGCGGGTGACGCGAAACATAGAAATAACTTGGTGTGGCCTAATGAGACTTCGGGTACTATAAGGACACTTTTCTGATGCCCCACCGAGTGTTGTTATACGCAAAGTTGACTGTACTTAGGAAGTAGTACAGACTCCCAGCTCAAACCTGGGATTGTGTAGGATACAGTGTGCATACACGCCTGACAAAACACACATGCTCTGTGCAAGCTTCCATCACTAACGCTTGCCAATACATGGTGGCACTTGACATAGGACAAGTAAAACAAAATCCAGTGTAGTATTGTAAAAGGAGAACATTTAGGGCGTTAGATTATTTAGGTGGAACTCAGTTTTGGCATTCAGACCAAGAGGTTATGAATTTTATGTGCAATCCACATCATCTGGCATGAGCTTTCAACTATACTTCACAGACATTACAAATTCAACAGTTCCTTACAAGATAGCTGGGGTTGTGAACATGGCCCTCCAAGGCACAATAGAAGAGACAGAAGACACATCACCTAACACAGATAGCGGCTGCTCAATACTTGGTTGCGATGCTGCTGAAGCTGCGGCACTCCAGCGACCAAACTTGCTTGTGCCCAATATGGAATGGACAGAAATGGCCCAAAAGAAGCCAAGTGCACCAAGAACATGGAAAACACTTGGCCAGCCCCACCGGAATATCAGCAATCCAACTATACTTCCTGAAAACACGGTCCTATAAGCAAGAAAGAACACACACACACATGGACACACACACACACACACACACCATTGGACCATTGGACGCCCATCGCCGAAGGCGATGATAGCGATGCTACAGCAGAAGCCATAGCAGCTTGTGCTGGGATTGCACCATTCAACAACTTGCAAGGCTGAAGAATTGACCACCACTATTCAGCCTGGTCTACACCACACAGCTATGAAGTGACTTTTTCTGGCCAGTGAATCCCTACTTTTTGGTCTTTTTTCATTTTTTCCCGCACACACATCACACCACATACTCCGGCATGCACTGGCTGTTGGTAACCACCCAGGAGAATGAAAGAAAAGTCAGGAGAAGTCTGAGAAAGAGAAGAAAGACGTGTGTGACCATAATCGTCGGGAATCGAACCCGCAACCTCTCGATTGGAAATCGCTGCACATACCACTGCACCATATGGGACACACACACACACACACACACACACACACACACACACACACACACACACACACACACACACACACACACATGGACACACATACACACACACACACACACACACACATATACACATGGACACACATATCAAAAATATCAAAAATGCATAATATACTCGTAGATGTTGGAAAAGCACCCATGTAAAAATGTAACCCAGCCTTTCACATTATTGTATGAATATGTCTTGACCGCTGCCACTTATACGACACCAGCAAAAACAGAGGCACTGGCAACAGCCACACAAGTAACAGCACCGCCAGTAATAGTAGCAACAATGACAGCAACACGATTCATAGCAGCATGATGAACAGCAGCACAAGCAACAGCAGCACAAGCCAGAGCAGCACAGTGAAAGAGAGTAAGAGCAACAGCAGCACGAGTATCAGCTTGTGCAGCAACAGGAACACGGAGCAACAGCAGTGCCAGCGACAGCAGCAGCAACAACAGTGCCAGCGACAGCAGCAACAGCAGGACACTCAAAGGTAGCACAAGTAACGACAGCACAAGTAACTGCAGCAGGACGAACACCAGCGCAAGCCAGAGTTGCCCAAGCCGGAGCAGCACAAGCAACAACAGCACGAGTAACGGTAGTGCGAGTAACAGCAGTGCGAGCAACACCTGCAGCAGTAACCGCAGCACGAGCAACACAAGTAAACACAAGTAACAGCAGCAAAAGCAGCATTTGCACAAGCAGCATTTGCACAAGCAGCATTTGCACAAGCAGCAGCACTAACATTAGCAGCACATGCATCAGCAGTATGAGTAACTACAGCATGACCAACAGAAGCCCAAGACAGAGCAGCAAAATAACCAGCAACAAAAGCAACAGCAGAGGAACCAACATAGCATAAGAAGCAGGCACCCACAGCACCAGCAATCGCAGCACAAGCAACTGCAGCACTATGAACGACAGCACAAGTAACCGAAGCATGACCAACACCTGCATACATGTACTAGTAAGCCAGAGCTGCATAGGTACGCAGCCAATGGGAATTTGAAGAGTGCAGACAAACCCTCATTTTTCTGCCCACAGCCTTGAAAATTTGAAAAAATCTCGTTTAGGCACATGCACATGTCTGGGCATGTCGTATAATGGGTGTCGTGTAAATGTCCCCCCCCCCCCCCCCCCTCCTCTTGACAACCTGGCTACGTGCCTGCTGCACAAGCCAGAGCAGTACAAGCAACAACAGCACAAGTAACATTAGTGCAAGCAACAATAAAACAAGTAGCATTAGTGCAAGCAACAGGAGCATCAGCACAAACATACAACAGCATCAGCACCAGCAACTGCAGCACCAGCAACAGCAGCACCAGCACCAGCACTCTGCAGCACGAGCAACAGCAGAACAAGTAACACCAGCACAAGCAGTAAGAGCAACCGCAGCACAATCAACAACAGCATAACCAACAGCAAAAAAATGCAAAAAAACACCCAAGAGCAGCACAAACAACAGCAGCACAAACAACAGGAGGAGCGGAAATAACTGAAGCACAAGAAACAGTAGTTGGATTTCAATCAAACTACATGTAAGTGTTGATTCAACAGGCATCACTCACCCAATATGATTCAACAGGCATCACTCACCCAATATGATTCAGCAGGCATCACTCACCCAATATGATTCAACAGGCATCACTCACCCAATATGAGAGCCAGCACAGACAACTCCAAAGTAAAACGTGCGTTCTTGTTCTCGGACATGAGCTGTTAATAGACTAGACATAGCAGGGTAGTGCACCCCTGTAGAGAGACACACACACACACACGCAAAACTGTAGTTATCACCCAACCTCCCAGCATCCAGATCACACCCAACCTCCCAGCATCCAGATCACACCCAAACTGGACACCCTTGCCATGCGGCGGGGCCAGTCTTCATGCCAGTCGCGTATTTGAAGGCAGGCTTGTGACCTGTCTTCGGGATCACAGTTACAACGGGCACCCTTCAGCGGCATGGTCACGCTGGGGCAGCCTTTGGCTAGTAACGTACACCACCGGCGATCAAGGACATGTTCACTTTGGGTGACAGAAGCGGCACAGGAATATTGGTCGTGCCATACGCGGCCCCGGGGAGGCCTCTGGGGTTTAGGTGCCCGGTGCTCAAATCTCGTTTATCCGGGCGGTCCAGGACTGGGCACTGCCCGTAACTGTGAAATGTGCATCACTCCGAATTACATACATTTTGTCATGGGGAAAGGCCATATGACATCACTTTTTCCAAAAAAGTGACAAAAGAGCAGTAATATTTCCATTGAAACTCGCCCAAAGGGTGCCCGGTAGATCAAATTGCCCGCAACTTCAGGGTACGGATAACCGAGATATGAGTATATACGTATTCTTATTACAGTCGTCCCTCTCTAATCCGGCACCTTTTGCAACGGCATTTTCTGCTGGATAAACAAGGGTGCTGGATTATCAAATCCTGCCCTCCAACCCGGCCCACATGTTATCATGCATGTTTGTGTCGTACGTCAAAACGTAGGGATGTTCTGTGTCAAACCAAGTACTTTGTGGAATGCATGTATATAACATACACTTGGGAATATCTTATGCACTAGCATAGGATAATCCCAAGTGTATGTTACATGTGTTGTGTACAATGGTCCCTGACAGTATGCAATGTACAACTGCTGGATTAGAAAATCGAATTATGTACAGTTTGAGTGATTTGTTGCAGAAAATCGCTGCTGGAGGCGGAATTCAAGTGCCGGATTAAAGCATAGAAAATTAACTGAAAAAATCCATTTTGCCAGAAAGTGTGCTGGTTTGCAAGGGTGCTGGATAAACAAGTGCCGGGTTAGAGAGGGACGACTGTAGTATGATTCAACCATAATCATCAGTGGTCACTTCAATTTCCACGTGACTCGTGTTCAATGGATTTAGCATTGTTGCTACGGCGGTCGTTCTCATTGGTCATCGCTTTCTGGAATATTATTATTTTTGTTCAAGATTCGGACTAACCTACCTGTATTGCACCTACAGGCCAATTTCCATAGCATTCTAACAATATCTTACGGCTTCTAAGCGTTTGCTAGGCTTTCCAGGAAACCCTGTTGGTGCCACAGCCAGTATGCTATTCCACATACATGACAACAAGAGTACATGACAACAAGAGTGTGCAGCTTCCGGCTTTTGCTACTATGGGTGTCTGTCACGGCGGAATTCCGCGTTAACATCATATTTGGCTCAGATCTGACGCGGGAAATGGCATAGTGCGTACAACTGAGCTGCAGTTGTGCAGAAAGAGACCTGCTTGAATCCTGCTTGTATGCACTACATCACTAAAATGATGTAATCATGGAATTCCGCCGTGACAGCAACCCATCCGAGCTGCACTCTGGTTTTCATGTACGCTTGATGACAATGAAGGTTGGCGTATGACTTTTGACGCCTCATATCTCTGATATCCTTCAGGATTTTCCTTCCAAATTTTAAGACTGGCAAAGAAAGAAAACCGGTGAACTCCCTACTAATAAGCCAGTCCCAATGCCCCAACCAGAGCATATGGTAACTTCCCGTGGGCAATGCCAGTACTTCGGAGTACATGATAATGAATTCAGCTGCTCCTGTCTCAAAAGCATCATAATACTCTAGCAAGATGTTAAACTCCAAAGTGAATATCAGTTTTTGGACAGAGCAGTATCAGTGCAGATCCACCTGCAAGTCTAACAACTCCGTTAGAGGGATGAGGCTTTCTGCAGCTTCATTGGCCAGTGGGAAATGCTGGCGAGCAGCCATGCCCTTTCCCCTAGCACTATACACTAAAACTCATTCCTTTCTGAGCACAAGAACACTATTTCAACAAACTTCCATCATCAAGTTAAAATAGTGTGCAGATCTACAAACAAGCAGCTATTGACCAGCAAATGTTGTGAAGTATACGGTCAATGTTGCTATATGCAAGCCTGCAATCACTATACTTTTTGTGTGAACTTATTGCGCTACTACTAGCTGTTAAAATCAGAAAGCTATTGTCAATCACACAATGTACTGAGTCGAGTGGAGTGGTTTGTGCTAGGCAGCAACTACCTGCCTTTGAATATACATAGTGCTAGGATTCCTGCTAATACTAGTAATAGATCTACAACACGGAGATAACCACACGCATTTTACAAAGCTAGGTATTTGTTTCACGGGACAGAATGTTATTTCTGAGTATAACAGCAATGACTAGCCAGCACAGGTGTGATTTGTAAGTTCTGTTTGTCATTTGTATTGGGTAGACCATGGAGCTGAGGGAATTCCTTGCTGGCATATACCAGTAGCCCCTCCTGTGTAGTCGTACACACTATTGCAACCTGATAATGGTAATTTATCGATTGTACCGTCCTTACAATTGGCAAATGAGTTTTTGACTGTGCCGTGCTTGGGGAAGGAGCATTTCCCACTGAAAAAATGGTGCTAGAATATGTTACGCCTTCTAGGTCAAGTGGCTCGTGTTTGGTTACATCCTGACAGGTCACTTAGAGACAAGAAACAGACGCAATGCAGGGTCACTTGCCGATATGGTTATTTTCATTTTCACAACTCCATGTGTGTCATGTGTGACACTGACTCACACTACTGCTGCCTTGTGAGGATATTGGAACTCTATATCATTTAGTGCCATTAAATATCCCTATACATACAAGCAAGAGTACATAACCCCCAGAGTGTGCAACGCCTGATCCAGCTGAGCATAGGGTCTTGGTCGAGCGTAATCGGATCTTTGCGTCATAATACCGTACACATCTGAGGGGTACCGGGGGAGTCGCTCGTACTCTCGGATCAAAAACAACGGTGCCCTGCCTCGAGACCGGCCGTGCACTGGTGTGAAGATTGAAGTGTACCCATGACATCAGAAGATCCGACTACGCTCGACTAAGACCCTATGCAGAGCTGGATCAGGCGTTGCACACTCTGGGGGGGGGGGGGGGGGTATAAGTACTCTTGATACAACTGTATATACGCTATAACCTTCACATCCTCATAATTACACCTGTCCATATATGACATCAGAATTGCTTGCTGAGTACTATTTCCCGCACTGCCGGTACCCAAATACTAGTACTCACATATTGTACAACTTTATAGTGTCGCACACCAAGAGAAAATAACAAGGATGACAGTCCTTCAGGGTTAGTTGTCAGTTAGCCGAACGAGAGTGAGTTGTTGGTTTGCCCTCTTCTTCACATGGTGTCAGAAGCGGTCCAGTCACTGTGTGCCAGTACTGCGTACCTCCGTCGTTGCCGAAAGCTTGAGTATTTCTATTCTTATTTTTTCATTTTCTCGAGTTTGTGGGGCCGTATTTGAGCCATGGATCTCGAGTCGTTGGCGTTTGCTCGCCACGAGCAGTTGCGGGATATCTGCCGTGGGCTGCATCTCCCCACCGGTGGTTCACGGCCTGATCTTGATCGGCGGATTCTATCAGTATCACACAGCAGTGCGGGGATGGATCGGGAGATCGATCCTGAGTTCGAGGAGGTGGCTCCTGATGATAATGAGCTCTAAACTGATGCTGGTAACCGGTCGACACTCCCTTCTCCGTTGACGGATTTGTTTCGTTCCGCACCTCCGTCACCGAAAACTCGTTTGCCGAAAGTAAGTGCTAGTTCGTATTTCGGCAACAGAAACACAAAATTTGATTATACCAGTGACAGTGTTGAGCAGTCCCTTGCCACAAACCAGTTGAAGTTTTAGGGTGGTTTCCCTACGCATGATGCACCTGCACTCGCTGCAGCTACACGTACTAGTCATACTGGGCGTACACATAGCCATACTAGTAAAGTTGATAGCTCTACTCCACAGCCAAAAGCTGTCCACCGTCATCCCGTACATGTCGCTTTTGGTGAAGATCCATGTGGAGATATCGGAGATGTCGATACTAGTACGCCGAACTCAGCCAGGCCAGCACAAGTCGTAGTCGTACACCCGCAGGTCATCATGCACAGCACGTTCACGTGCGCGTAGATGCGGCTGAGAACACTGAACACGAGCAGAGTTCTGCGACCGATGTCGATGTGTCGTCTTCTTCACATGCCTGCTGTTCATGAGGTGTTTGTCACGCTGGAACAAAAGGAGCACCCCTGCAAGATGGTGCCCAAGTGATGTAGAGGCTGGCAGAGCACAGCATTGCCTGGCAACTGTAATGTAAAACCAGGAATATTCAGTGGAGCAGTATCTATTTTCAGTGACTTCAGTCTTAACAAATAATATACCTACAATAAAACTCAATCAGAGGTCATGCTACCAGTTATAGCACAGTGTAGTAGACGGACTTTCTACCGTATCATACCGTATGTACCGTATATCGATAGATTTACCATATCGTATATATAGCTATGAATAGGATGAAGGCCGCAGACATCACGCAACTACGTTACTTGTTTGACATGTATTACTGTGTATTTTATAACAAAAATATTTTTGAAAACCCAGAATCGATTTCGATCGTATATAGTACGTTATTTTGTGTACGTCGTGTGTACATTATGTTGGCGCATGCGCGTGTTGCTGTAGTATGAAAAGCAGTCTTCGTCTTGAGTTCGTCTTGTCTAGTTGTGTTTCGTCGTCGTGTCAATAAACAGTCTTCTAAATGTAGTTATCGTCGTCCCTTTGAACAAGTGTGGAGATGGCACGGGACTGGGAGCAGGTGGAGAAAGGCCAGTTACTACATTGGTGGCAGCGGTGGGATTCGAACCCACGCCTCCGGAGAGACTGGAGCAGGTGGAGAAAGGCCAGTTACTACACACAGTACTTAGCAAGTACTTGTAGGACAGGACGCTATACTGACCGATACTGAAATAAAACGTTGCCAAAACCCCATTTTGGGAATATACTGAACATACCTGGTTATACAGTAGTTGAAAGAAGACGAAAATAGAAGAAGAAGAAGAAACACACATGGGAACGAGTTATGAAGCAACTATCCACGACTGTAACAAGATAATAAGCAGTCAGAACGTGCGATAACAGGGCACAAAACTGACAGGCTACTGAGACATTCAATGACCCAAGACCTAGCTCTAACACATCTCCAGTGTGCAAACCAACAGCCTTCCAACTTGGAAGTTTCAAGGTTGGGTAGGACCAATCGCACGTTCTGACTGCTTATTAACTTGTTACAGTCGTGGATAGTTGCTTCATAACTCGTTCCCATGTGTTTTCTTCTTCTATTTTACATTTAATACCGGCTCATGAGTCATTATCCGAGTTGAAAGAAGACGAAGTTAACTAAATTACAGAATGCACTAACCTTGAAAAGCACCGGTGACGATTCTCAAGAATATAACCGGTACTCCAGAGTGCGTTACAAACATCGGTAACATGCCCGTCAATAACGACCAAACTATAGCTGACATCCACAGAACATGTTGTCCACCATAACGATCTGACAGCCATCCTCCTAGCACCTGCAACACACCAATATAACACGATGATAATTATTATCATTAATTATACATGTACGGGTATACCACATGTGAACGTGTGCGCGCATGAACGTACACACGCACACGTGCATGCACACACAAACATGTGCACATGTTTGTGCACATGTGCGTACACACGTGCACATGTGCGTACACAAGTGCACAAGCACACACACACACAGACACACACACACATGCGCGCACGCACACACACACACACACACACACACACACACACACACACACATGTTGTACAGTGCTGCTCAATGAAATCCAGTCGTGTGAGTCAAGTTTGCCCCAGCACTCAGTGCACATCCCACTGTTCTTAGGTCTAGGGTTGCACAACGCAAGGCGCGGCATTGACTCGCTTGATTACTCAACGTCGGACTACGATTCAAACTGCAATCAACTTGTAAATTTCAAGCGATTCGAGGGATGTACTCAGTCGTCATGCTGCCTTTGGCACAGCATAGGGAAATTCCTTGAATGGCTTGAAAGTCGCAAAACAATTGCTGGACAGAAACTGTGAAATTAGTTCAGATCGAAGTCGGCATTCAATTTGCTGCCACTTGATCGTTTGTTGAGGTATTGCAACACCAAAAACACCTCTGGAAAGCCCTTTCCAAGACTGTTCCAATGGGCTATCATCCATGGTAATATGATACCCCATTCCAGAATTATGGCTTTTTGCACAGTGGACTATTCATTGTGCACGGTATGCACACTGTATACACATTACATGTACATGGCGAATATACTCGTCATATCCCAGACACGATGGGTTTAAAAGCTTACTTCATACACTGTACTGGTCAGCTGTGTGTGTGTGTGTGTGTGTGTGTGTGTGTGTGTGTGTGTGTGCGTGTGTGTGCGCGCGCATGCATGTATGTGCGTGCGTGTGAACAGACAGTACTGGCCAGTTCAGAGAAGGTGAAATCTGCACATTATTCAACTCTGTGTGGCATTTTGATACACATACTGGCACGTGGATGTACGTTTGGACAATAGGAGTATACGGATAGTTAGTTGGGTTTTCAGGAATCCACCTGACTTACGTAAAAAAGACTTACTACCTCCGACAAGCGAAACTTGGGGCGTTTTTTGTAAGCCGGGTGCAGGAAGCCAAGCAGCGAGCCGGTGAGTGGCACATGGCGATCCTCACGTATGTGAGGTACACGGCGTGCTGAGGCAGGCCAGTCTCTCAGCTCCTGTACTAACACGACGGTGCGCACCCCCACACTGCGAAGTAGAATCGTCTTGCTTTCACATGTCAAAGCAAAACCAAGGGTCTCTCTCTCTTTTTCTCTCTCTTTCTCGCTCTGGGTGGTCGCTCAGCCAGAAAAGAGTTAAGACGTCAAAGTCAACGACCTGGCGTTTTTCACTAGTCTCCGGAGCGATGTGTCTCTGATAGCTAAGGGAAATCGCTAGGAATTGCTGGCGGCAATTTTCGGACTGTTGGCAAGAATACACAGCTGAAAAGATGGAGCCTGTGTGGAGGTGTTTGCACAATTCTTACAACGGCATTCTGGACAGTGGCGGCGGAAATGACTATCCTCGACATCGTGGCCCGCGCACAGGAGCGACATTGAGAGTTGCAGAGCGATCACAGCAGAGATGCTTGCCGCAGCTGAATCTACTCTACTTTCGTCCGACGACAGCGACAATTCCTCTTCACAAGAAGCTGTGTTCTCCAAGTCAGAAGAGGGTGATTCAAACTAACTGTTGTCTCTACTGTCCCTGTTGAGCAACACAAAGTTATAGTTTGGTGAGTATATCATTAGAGAGGTTAAGTTACACGTTGTTTGCCCTTTTTCAAAACGCGGTGCAAATCTCATGTTACGTGTAATTTTTAGAGGTTAAGTTACACGTGTGACGTGACGTGAAATTTTGCCTGGCAGGATTTGGGTTTAGTTCGCACAAATATCAAATCTTCCAACAAACTCGATAAATATCGATAAAATTCCGGAAACTCACACAAATTCGGTCGGGATAACCAAGCGAAACTTCCAAAAACTCACGTCATGAACTTACGTGCGGGACAGTCAACTCACGTAAAACACGTCAAATTTTACGTGAGTTTTTTTCACTTTTTGACGTAAGAGTTCACGGACGTAAGACTTTTACGTGAAACTTAACCTCTCTATTATGCGAGTTCTTTCTAGTGATTGAAGTAAAAGGCGAGCCAGGTTTCGCTTGTCGGAGGTAGTATCAGATAAAAAGAGCTGTAAATATACTTCAGTACAACATCAGCAGCAGCAGTAGAAACAGCAGTGTAAGCAGTGACTTTTAACACACCTGTGTGGCTAGGTATCCCCAAAAGAAGCTTGATAGCACTATCCCCTGCAGAAACAAACACAAACACACAATGTACAAACATAATCATTGTAGAAAATCACTAAGTACAGACCGTCAGACGCGGATAACATGTACACCGTGTTATTACAGTGAGCTGGTGTGGACTCTGGTAAAACATACTTCCTGTATAAGACGTACTGTTCAGGTCATCCTGAAACTGGACAGCCTCCAGTAACAGACACCTTTTCCTTGTCTCTGGAGTAAATCTATTCTTAAATGGCGGTCGAAAAGCCAACTCGTTGTCTGGCGAGCATGCTGGAGGATTTGATTTTGAGCCAATTGAGAGTCTAGATGCACAGTAACCTGTCTAAGCCAACCACTCTGGGGACCTCCAAAACCAACCACTCTGGGGACCTCCAAAACCAACCACTCTGGGGACCTCCAAAACCAACCACTCTGGGGACCTCCAAAACGTGGTTGCTGTGTACACGTTGTCTCCTTATCTAGCGTCTTTTTAATTAAGTGGAAGTAATATCCTCTGATCCTTGTTGTAGTAGTCTCTGGGACAGGTGGTTGCTTACAAAGTCCCATTCATAATACCACTTTGTGCGCTGCAATGTGGCATGCGGCAAGCTGCGACCGCGGCACACGATTCACAATCGTTTTGGTTTCTGCTACTTCCAAATACAGTGCATAGTACGTACACGCACACTGCATGAGCACCCAGCCTAGTAAACTGTACTGTGTGGACCAAGTTACACTGGCTTTACCATTATTCATGTCCTTATTTTATCCGAACTTAGAAGTTGCGACTTCGGCGGTATCAGTGATGAAGTTGGTTGCTTCCTCAGCCTACTCAAGTATGCATTGGTATGCTGTGCTTGGTGACAAATTCTAGGCAATTCGTTCTCCAACGCTCCGCTCTTCGGCGCCCGACAGTACTGTAGTGGCTGTTCACTGAAAACTACTTCACAGAACAACAGACCGTAGAACAACAGGCCGTAGAACAACAGGCCGTAGAACAACAGACCGTAGAACAACAGACCGTACAACAACAGACCGTAGAACAACAGGCCGTAGAACAACAGACCGTACAACAACAGACCGTAGAACAACAGGCCGTAGAATGACAGACCATAGAACGACAGACCGTAGAATGACAGACCGTAGAATGACAGACCGTAGAACGACAGACCGTAGAACGACACAGCATCGAACAATGGCTCACAGAATGTGCACTACACCGACGGGCCGATTCACAGCCAAACATTGCTCATAGCGATAGAACGTGATCCAAAGCACGACGAACATGTAGAAAATATTGCCAATTTCGGTGCCAGGATCGGTCGGTGTGGAATATATTCCGCGAACTGACTTTCGATGTGATGCTTTACTGTGAGTACAATTCGGTGTTCTGCTCGCTATGAGCAATGTTTGGCTGTCTTTCTTTCGCTCTGATCATGGTATAAATTCGGAACGACGCTTCACGCAGCTTCATCTTAATCAACTCGTATTGTGGCAACACTGACCAACACTCGGATGCACTGTTACTTCACACAGTCGAACGGTTCTTTCTCAACGTTTCGATCACTCTGACCATCTTCAGGATGAGGTGGGCAAGGAAGCAAGGCGGACTTTAAAACAACATCATAAATCATGGTCAATCATGGTAATCAACAAATCATGGTGTTGCAACTTTCAAGTATATATTCGTATGGAGCTCATGGCGCTATCATCTGATGCAGACATCATTGTTTCTGCCAGGTATAAGTAGGGATTATGCACCTTGTGCGTGGTGAATATCATGTTCAAGGAACCATGGAGGACTTAGACGAGGGCAGTGACGAGTTCCGTTAAAAACCCGATTACTAGTATGCATTGACTACGAACCGCGGTGGACTGAAGTGGCTTTATAAAGGATACAGCAATGTTGTTGACAAGACATGACGAGATATGATATATTCGAGGTGCGATCAGAAAGATTAACTGGGCCGCAAGGCTGCAAAAAACCTTCAAGACAAGAGGCTTGGCATCGCCATTTTGCTCACCATTTAAAGGGGAAGTATACCCTAAAATCAAATTTTCACCAGTTGTAGTCTTCGGGGTGCTGAGTCGAATGCTGAGACACTCCCTTCCTCCTTTATTCCCAATCGAACTGGCGCACTTCCACCGAAACTGGGTGACTGCGCCCTACTATAATTGTAGATAGGGACTTGTATGGAAAAAGTCACTAAAACACCGTTTCGTTCTTATAAAAGCGCGGATGACCGCGATTGGTCCATATGTTGTAGTCTTTTGACCGCTGAGTCGACTGGTTTTGGTCCGAAAAGGCTGCGATGCAGCGTTCGGCCCTTATTCCCAATCGAACACGGTTGAGTTAGCGGTCACGTGCTCATTTACAGCCTGTTTGGGCCTGTTTATGTCACTCGAGTTGAACCTTTGAACCAGGGAGTCGTAAAAGCCTCTCACGACTCCCTGCTTTGAACCTTTGAGTTGAACCTTGATGTGAAAACTGTAGACTGCAGGCACGGTGACCAGGCGACTGGTGTACGCATGAGCACGTGACCGCTTACTCAACCGTGTTCGATTGGGAATAAGAGCCGAACGCTGCTCCGCAGCCTTTTCGGACGAAAACCAGTCGACTCAGCGGCCAAAAGACTACAACATATGGACCAATCGTGGTCATCCGTGCTTTTATAAGAACGAAACGGCGTTTTTAGTGACTTTTTCCATACAAATCCCTATCTACAGTCCATTCATAAAAAGATGGGCCCTGGCTCTGGCGAGCTCCCATATTCGGCGATTTTCGTGATTTCATCGTACACAGTGCAGTGCTGCGAAATTTGAAATTTGAAAAAGGGTCCACAAAGGGTACCTGAACTGGGGTTCGAACCGCACAATGCACTGTTGCAGGCGGGGTCAAACAGCCTGGATTTTTATGGTTTTTCCAGATTCAGTGCTTTTGGGGCAAAACCTGGCCGAAATCCTATTCTTGTTATGGCTTGCTTTTTGGACGAAAAAACTTCAGAAACATAATTGGAAGAGGATTCCATCGGGGATTGCAGAAAAAAATTCTTTTAAAAAAACTCAAAAATTTGACCCATTTAGGGCCAAAAGCTAGAAGTCCATCTTTTTCTGAATGGACTGTAGTAGGGTGCAGTCACCCAGTTTCGGTGGAAGTGCGCGAGTTCGATTGGGGATAAAGGAGGAAAAGAGCGTCTCAGCGTCCTCGGACCAAGACTCTTCGACTCAGCACTCCGAAGACTACAACTGGTGAAACATTGATTTTAGGGTATACTTCCCCTTTAACAAGCTGGACGTGCATCGGTAGTTTAGTGAAGAAGGAAACCACCACGGCACAACAGCTTAAACGACTGGGTGCTGGACCAAGCAGCGACAGAGCTACTGTATGTTCAAATCGACCAACGGTTAAGCTACTTCGTGAATTTGTTTCCAAACCAAACCAAAGCGGAATTCCTACGGGGCACTGTGCATAAATTGGCCTTATTTGTCGAGCCTTGAAGCAGAAACAAAGACAAGCGCTTGTCACGAATGGGTAAAATACCTCATGTGTTCTTTATTTTGGCATGTTGTTGAAGTTCAACGATAGTTTGTGCATAATGACTTTCCACCACATTATTCCCTTTCCATACGTAGTATCATACATTTACATGGTAAATAATTCTGAGCTCTGACAGTGAGAGGTTTTCTGTGCTGGGATTGTATTCAGTGAACTGATCATTCGGTCAAAGATACAGCTGTGGAAAGTCTTTCAGTGTGGGAAGCTTCTTGTGAATGTGGTTTTGTGAATTGTCTTTTCGGTGAGGCGTGCCTTTCTGTGAACTGCCGTACTACGAAGCGTCGTTTGAGGTAGTGTCGCTGCGAACTGGTTTTCCGCAATCCATCGTAGCCCTGCAAGGTACAGTCGTCCCTCTCTAATCCGGCACTTTATAATCCAGCACCCTCGATAAACCGGCACAATTTTCAGTAGCCAAATGTCCTCTTCATGCACATTGCAGCAGTAGATCAGATTTGTTAATCCAGCACCCTCCCTAATCCAGCAGATTTTCGTGGCACAAATGGTGCCGGATTATAGAGGGACCACTGTAGTATGTTTTCATGGTGACAGCGTGAACAAGGCGAGGACGTACTGTATGGGAAACAGTGCTCCTGACTACAACCATAAACTGGTTGGTAGATAGTTCACGCTGTCACCGTGAAAACATGTTACCTATCAGGCAAGGCTTGCATATACCATGGTAGATGTAGTAGCACAATCCTCTTGCATGCATTCTCGATGATGTAACTGTACTACATGCATGTATGAGCCCTATGCAGCAAGCGTATCTATGACTCTCATTATCCGAACTTTTCCCTCATTCAGACCTCTTCTGAAAGGTGTTTGCCCAGAAGGGTTCGGATACTCGATGCTCTACTTGGGATGCGATGCCACATGCGACACCTGCAACGCACTGTGACCACTGGCACACATCTTACAATCTTTTTTGGTTTCTGACTTTCTGTGACGTCTAAATGCAGTGCACAGTACGTGCACATGCACTTCATGTGCATCCAGCCTGTTAAAGGGGAAGTTAAGGCAAAAATCAAAATTTCACCAGTTGTAGTCTTCGGGGTGCTGAGTCGAATGGTCTTGGTCCGAGGAAGCTGAGACGCTCCCTTCCTACTTGAATCCCAATCGAACTCGCGCACTTCCACCGAAACTGGGTGACTGCGCCCTACGAGATGGGGATTTGTATGCAAAATGTCACTAAAAGCGCCATTTCGTTCTTATAAAAGCACGGATGACCGCGATTGGCCCATATGTTGTAGTCTGTTGGACGCTGAGTCGATTGGTTTTGGTCCGAAAAGGCTGCGATGCAGCGTTCCTCCTTTATTCCCAATCGAACATGGTTGAAGAAGTGGTCACGTGCTCCTGCGTACACCAGTCAGCTGGTCACCGTGCCTGCAGGGTACAACTTACTAGCCTGTTTGACCTTTTTTGGGTGCAGTCTTGTCACTCGAGTTGAACTCGAGTTGAACCTTGGTGTGAAAGTTGTCGCCTGCTGGCGTGGTGACCAGGTGATTTGGGCACCCAGGAGCACGTGACCGCTTCTTCAACCATGTTCGATTGGGAATAAAGGAGGAACGCTGCATCGCAGCCTTTTCGGACCAAAACCAGTCGACTCAGCGTCCAAAAGACTACAACATATGGGCCAATCGCAGCCATCCGTGCTTTTATAAGAACGAAATGGCGCTTTTAGTGACATTTTGCATACAAATCCCCATCTCGTAGGGCGCAGTCACCCAGTTTCGGCGGAAGTGCGCGAGTTCGATTGGGATTCAAGTAGGAAGGGAGCGTCTCAGCTTCCTCGGACCAAGACCATTCGACTCAGCACCCCGAAGACTACAACTGGTGAAATTTTAATTTTTGCCTTAACTTCCCCTTTAAGGCCGTCATCACACTACGTTCTCTGACTCCCGTTTATGTCTACGTCTACGGTGAAAAATCCAAAACGGGTGGTCGTATCATCACACAGGCACAGTTCTTGACCTGTACACGCAGTCACGTTTTTGGAGAAATTTGAAAATTCAAACGCACACACAAGGTCGCTCGGGAAAATACTGGGAGAGATACGCACGTTCACCCGTTTTAGTTCAAAATAGTTGTATACCCCCACCACGTCTACGTCTCCCGTTTCCTCTGCTCCCGTTTTCACCCCGTACATGGATCATCGTGGCAACCGACCAAAAACTCCTTACGTGGACATAGACGCAGCGCTTTGTACCGTAGTGTGATGACAGCCTGAGCTGTACTCCATTGGCATATGCCGCGCATCGCTGAGCTTCAGTGTTAGTGGCCTGTGACTGCTTGTGACAGTATGTGTCTTGTCTCGAACGTTGTATGTAGCATGTTGCGATGATTTAAATCTTTGAATCCTGTTTTATTCTGAAACAATGCATTGTTATTTCAACTTATTCGCACAACTTACTTTTAAACCTTTATCTACTTTCATTATAATATTCACTGGTTTGTGGGAAAGATGCAAACTTTCATAAAGTATTATCTACTTTCAGTCTTATTTTTACAAATTAGCAAGAAAGACTATCACCACAAATCACTCACAGATTGATGTTTGTCCCATCCGACGCCATCGCTGATGGATACGATAGCTTGGGGTAGGCTATTTCTCGACATATATAAGCACATGCATCCTACGAACAGTACTCCACACCATACCCGCCGCTCATCAGCAGTCCATTTGTAATTGTTGTTCAGATACATCAGACGATGAAAAGGTTGGCAGAATGTCTTCATCAATTTGATCAGCTCGTGGACTGCCGCGCGGACAGCATACTTGATGGAAACCATAAAAGAGCACTTTGCCCTGAAAGCTAGAGTCAGGGACGCTTTGAAGGAGATTTGACAAGAGGACTACAATACGACTACTTTCGAAACAATTTACAAAGTACTCTTTAGTTCAAGGACCATCCATAGAGTAGAGTACAAGTGCAACACCAGGTCTACAGAGCACAGTCCAGAGTCTTGAGTTGAAAGCCCGGGTTTTCACGACTCTACGACTCTTGCTCCCGATCCCCTGATCCTCTCCAGATCGTGGGGCTTGCATCGGGGAATGGGGAGGGGCTAGGGGCGGAGGGGGCGCTTACATCAGGAAGTGGTATTTTTACGACTTCCTAGATCATGCTACACTGTACAAGACAGGAACATCCGGGTATCTGTAGTAGTGTAGATCTACCCGCATCCGGGCAACTCCCTTCTGCCTTGTCCCGATGTCGACCGCCCCAGATCGGGTCGCGCGCGCAGGCACTGGCGCGTGGGCGCGGTGGGATAGCAGTACTCAGACATACACATGCCATCCAGGGAGTCGTAAAATACCGGTATTTTACGACTCCCTGATGCCATCAGATCAGTGAGATGGAGACTGACCTTTTTAAATTTTAGTTTGAGTGAGTCTTAAATAATTGTTTGGTGTTTTGATTGTAGTTTGAGATGACTTCTCAGTTTGTCAGTTCATTAACATGTTCAAGTACTTGAGCTGTGTACCGTAAATGTGGAGATTTAGCAATGTTGGAGCTGGTGACGATGGACGAAAGACCAGCCAGTCGGCTGTCAGTATTTTGAGGAAGCTTCAGAAATGACCTTGAAGATGGTCAATTCTTGCTATTTCCTCAAGATCAATAAGGTAATACTGTATGTATCAGTCTTTTCACTGGAGAGAAAACATGATTCTAAGGAGTTGAGAGCTGATCGGTTGTCTGACGTTTTCACTGTCGTTTGTTTTGATGTGTGAGTGTTGATCATGTTATCATGATGCGCTGGTTTGTTGCTTTACTTTTCGACTATGGACGTACAGAACAATTTTCTTCTGCGACATTTCAATCTCGGTACAGGTCTACTCTCCATATAACGTAATCTCTGGGACCACGCAAACATTATGTTATATCGAGAGTTATGTTATGTAGAAAACCGTGTGTAAAATACAAGATGCACCTCAAAATGAAGGGTATTGCAAGGCGGGTTCAACCGTGCAAACATATACACACTGTACCACCATCGACATCAGATACCATCAATGCCGCAGAATATATGCACATAGGACTAAACTGGCTAGCTACGGCTACAGCTTGATTGTGCCGCGCACGTGAATCTACGTTGTATCGAGAGTGTACACGTTGGGGACTGCGCCGTAGGGTGCGTTATGCCGAAGTTTACGTTATGTAGGACTAAACTGGCCTAAACTGCCTAGCTACAGCTACCGCTTGATCATACCGTGCACATGAATTTATGTTGTATCGAGAGTGCGCACGTCGGGGACCGCCGCAGCGTGTGTTATGTCGAGGTTTATGTTATGTAGGATTATGTTGTGTAGAACAAATTTTGTATGGGAGTGATGCTGTTTCGCGCGGGATTTGACTTTTTTATGTACTAACGAGGTTTATGTACAAGTGAGAGTTGTTATATCGAGAGCAGACCTGTAGTATGATACTTATTACTATCTCAGTATCTGCGTAAAATGTGATAATCTTCGTTAGGCCACACCGGTTTTTTTTCTGTGTTTCGCGACACCTTATTCGATGAAATCAATGAGGGAGGCCGTCGAGGGCGAAAAGAATAAAAAGCCATCCAAAAAAAACAGTGTACGTGCATAGCATTTGTGTACAGTGAAGCTCAGACCCGGCACTAGCACTGTTCGTGTACATTGTACATTGTATACAATGTACATGAATACAGGAGTGTATCCCCCGAAACAGTTTGCTGTCTACACCATTGGGTTGAATACACGAGTGTATCCATTTCAATACAATGAATGTCGCCAAGTAAGTTTATTGCACATGCTATCTCTACTGGTAACAACTGGCCAAATTGTGTCAGCATTAGGCTCAGACAGATCCTGCCGGAATTTTTTCCGGTTGTAAGTCGACCTTTTACGACTTAAAATAGAAGGAGAAAGGGTGGGGGTCGACTTACAACCGGGATTCGACTTATAACCGGGAACTATCAGTATCTTACAAAACAATGACCTGCACTGCATGCACGAGTGCACCATGTTTACACATTTTGCCAGTTTATTGGCCTTTTCCAAGGATTGGGACGTTATATCCTCCAATAAGGAATGTTTACATGATTTGTTGATATGTTAGTAGCAGGAGGTGGTTAGTAGTGCTTCTTTGAGTGAAAACTTTAAAACGCAGAATTGAGACCTCCAGATAGGGGGGTCGACTTACAACCGGTAAAATACGGTAGTAGGCACGGTACAAACTAGCACGCGGGGAGCCCCAAGTCATAAAATATTCACAGCTTTGAGGGAAAACATCTTTCCCTCAAAGTCTGAAGAAACATTGACTGTCACCACCAGGATGCGAACCAGGGACGTTCGCTTGAGGCTAGCAAATAAGAATCTGCGTTTCATTTAAAAATGTGTACCAATGATGCGAAGTGGTACGGTAAATACCATAGTGACTGTAGCGTGTACTACGTCACTGCACATACACACACACACGCACGCACACACACACACGCACACACACACACACACACACACACACGCACTGAGCTCTGCTAAGGAGACATAGACATAAACAGGTCGAAACAGCTAGCTGTCCGGAGATCGAGTACACCATCAACAATAGTGTACGAAATACAGTGTGTACACATCTCCAAGGAAAAATCATTTGGAACGATAACAACAAACTAGGAATCCAAGTACACTAACATTCAAATGCACGTCTCGCTGGAGATTGCCTACAAATAAGGGGGGGGGGGGGGAGAAATCACTCATGAAAAGGAATATTGTTTCATGCAGCAGAGAAATAAAGAGCTTGCGAAACACCAGGCTTGTAAGTGCATCATAAAAAAAACATTTTGCTGCTCCTGGTGCAGAGTGTGAGCTGAGCTAGGATAGATACCAAAGAAAGGGAAGGAACGGAACATGACAGAAATTGAACAGCAGATATAGCTGACAACTTGAGTGACAAGGGAGTAACTTTAAAATGTAGAAAAGGTGCGCATGCAGCTGCTGCAAGCATGACACAAGCATGCTTTAACTAAGAACAGGCAAGATCCGCAGTGCAGTAGAATGCAATCGTGATGATGACTAGTACTTGGCTATGGGATAAGCACGCAAGGGAATCTCAACGAATTGCAGAGAGCATCACCAAACGGAAAGTGACAAATACCTGCTGGCATGGGATCTCTCACAAGGAAAATAGAAAATTAATATAAAGAAATGTATAAAGGCACTGTGCTATAGGAGTGGCTGAAACTAACAAGCAGCTTTGACATGGTTGATTGAAAGCAAGCTACATATTCGAATGCACCATCACCTGTGATGCAAGTGGATATAAGAAAATTTTCTCAACGATCTTTATCAATATGGCAATGAAGGATTGTTCAAGTCACCGTGGCCATCCGAAGCATGCCCACAGATGAGTGACCATTGGTGTACACTGCAACACACCATTGGAAACACATCATCTTATCAATGGCTGCTTCTGTCTACAAAGACAGCATCGGCCTGCCCAAATGTAGCAGACACAATGCTGGAAGGTGAACGCTGTCTGCTTGTCTTCACAATCAGCGGCTGCGGTTGATAATGCCATAGTCAGAACAGCGGTGGTATCCGTCTTGAATTTTGCCGTCGAATATGGACTGTCCTAACGCCTTGATTTGTCCAAGCCAGAGAACCTTCAGCTCAGACACACGAATCTGCTCTGCCACTGCACGTACTCCATCCTCCGTGATGCCCTGGCAGTCCTGCATCTGTGTGTAGCACAGTGCTGTGTTGTCTGATAGCATGCCGGCAAATGCATGCAGACCAAGGTCAGTAATCCTGTTCGCGCCCACGTCCAGGAACTGCACACTGCCATTATTGCGCAATGCCTGGCAGAGTGTGTCCATGTCAACATCTGTTAGCTCACAATGATACAGTCCCAACGAGAGTAGATTGCACGTGCTCTCTTGTAGCCACTGCGATAGGCCTGCCATGCCGTTTACACCAGCAACGGGATTGCGGCCGATATTGAAGCATTCCAGATCTGGGTGGATGTCATTGTCGATGAGTGCTGCGCAGAATGCAGCAAACGCGTCGCTGCTGATGTTGTTATCATACAGACTTAAACAACGTAGATCGCCACTTTTCATCAGGATATCGATCAGCACAGGTACAGCAGGATCCGATAGTCTGTTATTGCGGACGCGAAGGTCTTGAAGCTCTATGTCGGTGCTCAGAACATCACGCAGTCGAACTAAGCCAGCATGTTCCAGGTTGTAGCGTAGATCTGCCATGCCGTCCTTCGTGATGGAGTTCAACAGCAATTCCTTAACGTCTGTCTCTAAAACCTTGCCATCGACGATTTTGGATGCACCAAAGTTGATGGTGGCATTAGTGTGTCCCAGCATTGCTGCAGCCAATATCTCTCGTGCCTCTGGTGTTGATGCCGAGTCGGTCATGTTGACACTGACTTGACCATACTGTGCAAAGTAACTGGGTCCCTCAATCGATTCTAAGCTGTTCATGTACCTAGCTGCGTCACACAAGCCTTGGTCACCTATGCTGGACTTGTTTAGGTCTACCGTGCACACTGAGCGGTCTGCCGTACACACTGAGCGGCATTGCTGCTGTCGGGCAAGTAGCAGGGCCAGAGCATAACCAGTCTGGTCACCAATGGCTGGGTTCTGGGAGAGTCCAAGTCGCTCAAGACGTGCACAACGTGCTGCATGTTGCAGAAGGCAGCTTGCACCCTCGCTGCCAATCTCACAACGAGTCAAGATGAGTTTCTTCAAGCGGTGTTTCCTCTCATCGGGCTTGTTCTCATCATCTTCCAGGAGCACAGCAAGTTTCACTGCAACCTTATCGCCCACTACATTCCAATTCAGCTGCAACTCTTCAAGCTGTAAGTGACGCTGCAACGCTTTAGCGAGTTCAAAGCACTCTTCTTCCTTCAGGCCACATTGGTACAGGCTGAGAAAGCGAAGCTCAGGCATGCACACAGCACCAATGCGATTGCGTAGCGCCCTGGACAATGCCAAGCACGCATCACCAGTCATGCTGGCCTTGTTATCAGCCAGAGTTAGCTGCTTGATCTTTCTGCAGCTCTGTAGCAGCTGTGATAGCATGGCTTTGTCCACACCGCAGTTGGTCAGGTTAATATGCTCTATTGCAGACTGACAATGGTGTAGGCAGAAGGAGAGCGCAGCCACTTCGTTGGCTGGGACATGGAGACTGTTGGCTAGGTTCACCTGCTTGCTACTACCAGGCAATGACATCATTAGCAGCTGTGAGATCTGTTGAGAGTGACGTGCTGAAGGAGAGATGCTGGCTGGCGTAGTTTGGTCTCTCCTTTTGCTGGTTGCTGCTGCTGACAATGATGATGATGGCTCGTTTTTCACACTGGCTTCATCGTGGAAGGCTTCGTGTACAATCTGCAGCATAAGGAGGACGAAACGGCGCACAGCAGGCAAACTGGCATCGCTATGAGACACTGTGTTCTCCGAGTCTTCCTTCAGACACCGCACAACATCCATGGCCTGTTTGCCACCACCAAGACCAGCGAGGAAGAGCCAGAACATTGACATGTTCTCATCCTGACCAAGTCGCTGCACACATTCTTTCATGTAGCTTTGCCGCTGGGTGGCAGTTGTGCTGGTGAGATACACACACGCCAGGTACTCTTGGAAAGTGAGATGAGGAAACTGTACAGTCTCCTTCAGTCCACTGGTCACATCCTTCACCTCGGCGTGTGACAGGAAGCCGAATGTCATAGCTTGCTCCACGTGGTGGTCCTTCACAAGCTGTGCACTGAAAACCAAACGCTGGTCATCCGCAGCTAGCAACTGCTTCAGAGCTAGCTCTCCAAGACGATACATCAGGCATTTCGTTTCCTTTGAGAAGCCATCGCCTTCAAAGCCGGATACATCACCATTAGGCAGTTCAAGTGTCAGCGGTGCTGGTGAGGGTTGCACAGCTGCATTGTCTGCGTTCATGATGTCCTTGTTCTTCATATGCCGCTGTACCCAGTTGCGAAACAGTGTCCGATACAGAGCACTGTACAGCGACTCGACATGACCAGTTTGTTGAAAGAGAAACGAGATTACCAACGCGAGAAGTGGTATGCGCATCAGCGTGGCCACAGTCGGCTGCGAATGGTAGACCTCCATCAGCTTCCTGCCAACATCGCGACTGCGGATGAAACGGCTCTCAACAAAGAGGCGGACATCATCATCATTGAAGCCAATCACCTCGACACATTGATCAGCCTGTGTTGCGTACTCACTAGCCAGCCTGCAAGGTCTGCTTGCTACGAGTACAGTACACATTGGGAGCAAATCACCATGGAGTATGCGCATGAATGCTGCCTTCTGGTTGGGATTCTGAACCTCATCGAGACCGTCAAACACAATCAGCAGCTGCTTCTCTTCACGTTCCAGAACCTTGTAGATCTTGTGTCTGAGCTCTGCATCTTCCCTAAGCCGTGAAATTCTGGACAAGAGGAGAATGGCTGGGTCAAGCTCAGCTGCCAGGTGAGACTCGCGCAATGGCACCACAATGACAAACTTGTAGATCTTCAGAGCTTTCTCAGTGGCCCACTCAAAAGGCAGTTTGTAGGAGAGCGCAACCGTCTTTCCAACACCTGGAGGACCATAGACTAGATACTGGCGCTCGTGCTTCTGGCGCTTAACAATCCTTTGCAGGAAGTTGTTGAGGGGCATGCTTCTGGCACCGGCCTTTCGCTTGAGAGCAAATGCCTGGTGCTGCAGGCCGACATCATTGTAGCGGAGAGCGAGCTCTTCAGTTGCTTCTGCGTCCAAGAGACTGACATTGACAATGTGATTGCGCATTTTCAGTGCACGCTCTCTCATCCAGTTCAACGAAGGTATTTTATTGGTCTTTGTCCAGTAGATTTCTTGCAGGTCTTCAGTTAGTTTCAGGCCATCATAAGAGTCAGGTGCAAAATTTGAACGATCTTTCATGTTGCGTGGCCGTCCTGTTAGGTACAGTGACAGGCCATCATCGTCACTGTCATCGCTGTCACATTCACCACTCAAACCAGGGTGCGCATGGGTGGAACTGTGCACTGATATATCATCATGTGAAGCAGCTGCTGACTGTGAAAGCGGGCCAGTGTGTCCAGTCTGGGGGTTGGTGACTTGGTGCTGGTTGGCCGTAGATTGCTGGTCCTGCCGCTGCTGTTGCTGCTGGTGGAGTTGTTGTGGTTGTTGTTGCCGCTGCTGCTGCTGCGGGTGTTGCCGCTGTTGATCTCTATCACACTGAGTTTGCTTTTCTTCCATAACACAGGCTCGTTCCTCTTGTTTCTGTTGTCTGCGTTGTTGTCGCTTTGTACGCTGTTCCGAGGTTATTCGCGGGTAATTCATTTGTAGCGTACTGGGCGTTTGCTGGGAACATGGTTGATAATGGCCTTCCTGCAGTTGCTGCTGCTGCTGCTCATCTGGACATTTCTGCGGTTGCTGGTGCTCATGCCACTGCTGCTTCTGCTGATCCTGAAAGCGCTGCTCTTGCTGTTTCTGTTGCTGGACCTGTGGCAAATACTGCTGCTGATGTGCGAGATGTTGTTGCTGGACCTGTGGCAAATACTGCTGCTGATGTGCGAGATGTTGTTGCTGGTGATGGTCATAGTCTGCTACGTATTTCTGCGGGTCTTCAACTTCCTCTGGTAGCTGATGGTACCCATCCTGCGGTGTGTGCTGTGGCTGATGTGAGCCAGAGGGGCGGCCATCACCGAATGGCATTGGTGTATGTTGTATCAACTGCTGTGCAGGTTTGGTATACCTGTGTTGAGCTTGATGCTGCAGATTTGCTGAGTGGTATTCCGGTTGGAGTTGTGTAGGAGTACTTGGGCTGTACGCGTCTTGATGTTGCCATGAAGTCGGTGGCCTTTGCTGCTGACGTGGCTGATGTTGTGTCTGCGAAGTCAGTGGGCTTTGCTGCTGACGTGGCTGATGTTGTGTCTGCTGGTGAGGATAGTGGTGGTGACGTTGCTGCAGTAGTGGTGGAAAACGTGACCCTTGCTGTGGTTGTTGTAGTTGTTGTTGTTGTTGTTGTTGTTGTTGTTGTTGTTGTTGTTGTTGTTGTGGTTGTGGTTGTTGTTGCTGCTGCTGCTGATGTTGCTGCGGCTGCTGATGCCATTGCTGCTGATCCTGCGATTGATATGACTGCAGTGGTTGGGGGTGCTGCTGCTGCTGCTGCTCCTGCTGCTGATGCTGGTGTTGTTGCTGCTGCTGATATTGCTGTGGCTGCTGATGCCATTGCTGCTGACTCTGCGATTGATACGACTGCAGTGGTTGGGGGCGATGCTGCTGCTCCTGCTCAGTTTGATGGGGGTGATGCTGTTGCTGCTGCTCTTGCTTCTTACGGGGGCGATGCTGTTGCTGTTGCTGCTGCTCAGTCTGATGGGGGTGTAGGAACTGTTCCTGCAGTTGTTGCATTCTAAATTCGGGACGACCTGGCTCTGTAGAAGCAGTCAGGGTGTGTTGTTGGGCATACGTAGGTCGGCCATTGTCACGCTTCAAGCCGCCACTGTGCACTGGACCATGGTAATGACTAGTAGTTTGATACAGCCTCTCATCTGAGTGTG